CAACAGAATTTAGCAGTGCCTTCTGATTGCAGAGTCTCTATTACTTGCAGGGTTGTGCAGGCAAGAGAGACTGCAGCCTGACGTTCAGCTGGCGGGCTGAGTGGGGGAGGCTGGCACTTGGGAAATGTGTCGCTCCCGATGAGAGAAGTGAACCGGCAAGTCCTCAAGAGAGGTCAAACTTGGTGCTTTGTGGTCACATTGGTAATATTTTTCAAGCAGGAGTGGATTGCACTTTCAAAAAAACACATTCTATTTTTTTTCTTCAAATGCAATTAGATCCAATTACTAATGCCTATTAAGGGAAAACGGCCATGAATGTAACTACTGTGAAGAAGTATTTTAGAAATCTCACAATATATACTTTTTAATCCGTTTCTGTTTTCATAAATGAGCTATGGGTATGATATTCATCTCTCACATAACTCCCCTCTTTATACTGTGTGAAAATAACCCTTAATTGTAGAACACGACAAATTTTCTTCCCTAAATGGACAAGAAACACAATTCTCATAAGCAAAGTTGCCAATAGATGGAGAGGGGAGTTCTCTTTACTCAGTAACCTCGTAAGCAACAGAAGATCTCTTTTTTTCAAAAACCCACTGAGTTAAATTAGTTTAAAGTCTCTGGAGGAATTTCTGACTTATGTTTTCGATTAACAAAAACTTGCTTGTAAGTAACATAAAAGGAACATCCATTCTTATAGATAATCCTACAAGCCCATGTATAAGGAAATAAAGTGCTGAAGAGTCATACTTTTATAACAGGTTCACTTCAAGCTTACTGACAGGGTCCTTTCCATGGTCTGAAGCCCAATACTATAACAGTGTCATAAAAATGATGTAGAAAGCTCCAGTGCTGCTGTACTTTTTTAATTATGAAAAACATAGTGGATTAGGGCTTCACAGTATAGTGGCTATAATATGAAACTGGTGGCAAAGAGTTCCTGAATGCTAACTTCAGGTGTGCCACTAACTGTATCATCTTGAATAAATTCCCCATACCTAATTTGTGATGCTTTTGTTTATGCTGAGGAACCTACCAAATAGACTTGTTGATTTCCACAACTCTAAATGAGTAAAGCGGTATGGGAAGAAAATAATAGCAACAGGATTCAGTGACCGCACTCTCTCTCTTAGAGTCATACGTAGTGTTGGTAGGTGGTCTTGTGCAAAGCAATAGACCAATCTGTCATTAAGAAATGCAAAGTTCTCTTTCTTTCCCTTTTTTGACTTTTAGAGCTAAAATTTATATATCCTCAGTGTGAAAATGGCTTTTTATTACCTAGTTTCTAGAACCATGGCCTCACTTAGAGGGAAATTTAGGCCTCAAAATGGGCTATAAATGGTGTCCATGATGACACTGCAGGTGAATTTCAACCGTAGCCCAAAATTTCAAACATAATCGTAGAAGTTAAACTCCTCAATTCTTGTCCAAAATTACTATATCAGTGCAAATATTCTTGTATTCCATAGGCTGTGGTTCACCAACAGAGTCCTAAAAAGGTGACCTAATTTTTCAAATAGAAAAGTCTTTTTGGCATTAACTGAACCTGGAAGTGCTCACCACTTTGGAAAAACGGGTCGCGTAGCAATTTAGTATGCACTGAAGAGTTTGATTCTAGACTCTTGGTCTTTGAAATATTCATCAGGCTAGTCTTAATATATAGATGCTCAGAGTGATATATGCATTGGAGTGAAAAATGCAGCAAACATATAAATTAGTAAGCATTGAACGAACCAAGTTCATTTCTGACAGAACTGATCTACACAGCTGCCTAGGTGGGTGTTCTGCAGAGAGAAACAAAATGGGTCAACAAAGTAAAAATGCAGCTTCCTACACTTTGACAGTTGTTGTCTTTGTCTTGCGGATACTCTTGAGTTGAATCTGTTGGAGGAGCAGTACTTTGTTGATCTATAGGAAGAAGACATTAAGTGATAATTACATACACAACAGGCTGGATAAAAGCCCAACAGCATTAATCACTTTGTGGTTTAAACGTTTCCAAACTGCAAATTAAAATAGTAGTCCATATTTAATAGCACTTTGTGCTGATATGATACAATTTTGCATAAATACTTGCTAAATAATTTTAAAATGTACAGTAGGTATTATGCACAGGTAGCAATGCTTTGCCTGTTTCCCAAGAATGCTTTGGATATTGATTATATTCTCAAAACACACTGCAGATGAGTACTATGTATTATTATTGTGAATTGAGTTCATTTAAGATGTAAAACTGCTTGAGTTGCATAAGTCTTTTAGCACATTGTGAATATTTTAGCAGTGTTCATGCCTGATGTAACCTGAATCAACAATCATTTCAAAACATATTTATTTTTACAGAATATACATTGTAATTAATCACGTCTTTTGCTGGGAAGGAGGAGAACTGGAACTGACCTCAGAGCTCTTGGCAGAACCCCTAAGCTTTAGCTTTTCACTGAGATTCCTCTCGGTCTTATTTTCATATGCAACTCTTTTTTTCTTGCCATGGGGTAAACTGTAAATGTAAATGGTCATAGCTCCACTGCCTTCAGTGGAACTGCACCTATTTCCCCAAGGTGAGTGTCTCTCTTTGGTTGCTCTGTGGCCTCTTTCTTTGCTCAGCAGTGCGTAGAGTGGACTCTTGTCTGTATTTTCTGTTTTGTCCATCTCCAGGACTGCTTCCTGCTTCTTAGATTGCTCTGGGTCACTTGTATCTAAAATTCAAGGTTTGCAGAGACAAATGCACAAATGTTGTCTCAGCCTGTCATTTACTGAAGAACTACTTCACTGTTGGAGTTGAAAGAATCACCCATTAAGAACAAGGTTCATGAGAAGACATTGATAGTTTGGCCCTAGAAGTCCTTAACCTGTTTTCCATGTGGATACGGGTGCCGTTTGTTCCGGTGTTCAACGTTGAATAGCATTTGTTTTTCCTCTATTTCTGTTGCATTTGACTATGCGGCACTAAAACACTCCAGAACTTGCCATTGTGTGGGTATAATAGCAAAACACTGTATTTTATATCCAATTTAGACTTTTGTTCTCATTTTTACGTCCCAGTAGACTTCAGTGGAATGTCAGAATAGCAATAAATAGGTCTTTGGAGAATAAGGCTCTAAGATTCCAAAGAAATGTAAGTCATCTATCAAAAGGCTACTGTGAAGCGGTAATTTGAATTTATAACATGAAAAATCATTTGAAAATTATTTTATATATGTAAAGCCAGAGCACAATGGTAGTAGGGAACCCTATAAAAACAAGTGGTACTGTCAGGTGTACGTAAGCAGGCTACTCACTATTCATATTGCCAAGAGGTGAAAGAATTTCTGTAATAAACTCAGTCTTATCAACTGGAAATGTCAGAAGGTGTGAAAAGACTGGGCATATTAATCAATCAAAGTATGACTTTGAGTTATGAACCTGTCATGTCGCTACAAAAAAAGGAAAATCTAATCATAGACCGTATCAGGCAATGAATTACCACCATTATATTGCTGAACTCTCATCTGGAATACCTTATCCATTCTAGTCAGCTTTATTTCAGAGAGATGAATTCTCACCGGAACAGGTGAGGAAAAAGGGGACTTAACATAACCAGCAAATGACAATCTACCTCAAGAGGCAGGAACCGAGTATCACAGTTAAGTGAGTGCTGGGAGAAAATATGCTCTAAATAAATGCAGAGTGCAATTAGGTAAGTGGAGTCAATCAAGCCATAGTTACATAAGGTAAAAAGAAATGTTAATTTTAAACTAAAAGGATATTAACTGGGTATGAAAATGTCAGAATTTGTCCAGCTGTCTGTTGACTAATGTTCTGGGCACAGCTTCCAGTAGGAGTTGAGTTGGGGAAACAGCTTGTGTTCGCTCACAACCCCTAATCAACAAAGATCCACTTCACTCCTCTGTGATATGTTCCATACTGTAAAAGACCACTTAAGACACTGGCTTACATAAATAGAAAAACATGTTCAGGCAGATTATTTGGTAACCTTACCATAAAAGTGAAACACAGATATGATGTGTTCATTTTTGAGTTTTTGCCATATTACAAAAGCAGTAAGGCAAAGGTACGTGTTCATTAACCTTTAGCCAGAGTGGTGACTGTGTTAATGTTAGCATTAGTTATGTTAGACCCTTTATATTGCTTTGGAACTCAAAAAATTCAACAAGTGCAAGTCAAAGCAGGCCTATGCCTTAATCCCTGGTATTTGTTGAGACCTAATAAATAAAATGCATTTTTATTGACTTTTCATTATAAAAGATGCTGCTGAAGGAAATAATGATAGCCAAACTTTTGACATAATTGTTTCAAGAATGAACCTGCCTATGCTGTTTCTTAAAATCTTTGGTCCTTAATACCTTAGTGAAAACTTGAATGACATATAGGGTGTCCGATAAATAGTTTCTCTGAGACTCTTAATCCATCTGAACCAATTTGGACATGCTGTACCAAACTGCAAGCTCCCAGTGTGAGTTCACATCAGATGGGTCATGTAAAGGTGGTCAGCTATCACCCAACTGGTATGACTGGTACGCAGAATTTATTCTGGAAGTTAGTAATCCCTCTTCAAATACTACCTTCAGCTCCACACCTGAATTGCAGTCTTGTGACCACGGATGAGGGCTAACCAGTACATTTTCAGTTTATGGTACCTTGCTATCAAGAGCATCCAGCACCAAACTTCCATTGTTAAGTCTTCAGAATTAGCTTTGCATTCTGCCAGATGGGCTGTGTGACCACCAGATGTGTGTACGTGTGCCCAGCAGCATGCAGTGGGATACATTTTGGTTCCCCAGTACAACCTTGCCATTTGGGTGAACAAAGCACACTCCTTTGGGCTGAAGGATGGTGACAGTCCCTAATCTTTGTGAAACGTACCCCACACCCTTCCTGACTCTGAGTGCCATGTTCATCTCATTCTGTGTTCCTACAACTTGTGCAGCAGTTTGTTCAGCATTCTTTCTCTTCACTTAACTTCCTTTTTTTTTTTTTTTTCTTTTTTCCTCTTACAGATGGACAAAAGAGGAAGAAATCATTAAGAAAGAAACTGGATTCGTTAGGGAAGGAGAAGAACAGAGACAAAGGTAAAATAAAATGAGTGCATATTTACTGATTGGGTCATAGTTTTGCATCTGAGATTTCTTTAGTCTTAAATGTATACTTTCGGGAATAGGAGAATGTTACTGATGTGATGTACTGCCTAGGTATTTGTTTCCAAGTTGAAAAATATGTCTTATCTTTTCTATTTGTCATTAGTATAACCCAGATCTCTTCAACTGAAAGCTTACTTCCTAGGAGAAAAGGAGGAGTCAAAGGACTGCATCTTTTCTTCATTGCTCTTTCTCCCCATTTTCACCATCCAGTGCAGAGTGCGGTCTGGATAACATGATCCAGTTGTTTACTTGCATTTGCACTCTCCTCTTTCAATTTGCAAAGCACACGAACCCAGCCCTGCCCAAGCAAGTCAGTTGGTCTGCTTTTCTTTTTTTAACCCTAGCAAAATAGCCGTTGTTTAAAATATATAAACGCTTCAGTGCTAATGATCAGTTGGATTTTAATAGACTCCATGTGACATGGGTTTACAGCTATGGTTGCACTCTTTTGTTTGGACACTAATCAGCTTTATGGGCTGGGTCCTAATCCACTGGACTTGACCTGGAATTTGCATCCATTTGAACTAAGTCGAGATGTTGAGACCTGAAAAGTGTCTCTGAAATTGCAGTTTTCTGCATAGAGATAATTGTGCATCTAATTTTGTGTTTCCTCCTGGAAAAGAATTTCTGGAAAAGTGGCAATAAAATTCAGTAGTAACACCTCAGTTTCACAAATAGACACACAAACGCACAAATTTATAACAAGAGGAGTGATTTGGTTACTCTGGTGTTATTGCTTGTAATGTAGTTTGGCGGAAGGATGGAACTTTAAAATTCGTTCTAAAAATGAACATCCCCATTTCAAAGTTACTTTAGATATTTGTCAGGAAAAAAACTGTTTTCCTTCTAATTTTTGTTTGTTTGGTGACTTCATATATGGGATTATTATCTTCTTGATTTAAAAATGGCTGTGAAAAATATTTGCATTAATCATTCTAAAACTGAAAGGCCCCTGACACATTTGTTTGAATAAATCTGGTGGTCTCCCATGTTGCATTGCAAGTACCAAATCTTTTATTTGTTATGAGAATTACTTGATGTAGGTCTGAGCTCACATGCAGAAGGAGTCTTTGAGGAAGAGATTTAATGACTTCATAGCCACCTTTGGGGAAAAATCTGTCTTGTATTGCTCCTGTCAATGCATTACATTTGGCTGAAGTGTAATTAATCAGTCATTATGTGGCTTAGTTTCCTTGGCTTTTTCCCCCATAGTTCTCCATGCAGTTAAAAGTGCAAAGCAACATAGTCCTGTGCAAAACCTTCCCTGCTTTTCGGTGCATAGGTCAGATACTGATCTTCATAGCAGTCTGTGGGGTGCTTTTCTGCATCGGAAATGGGTAACCACTTACTGCCTTTTTTTTTTTTAAATGTCCTGTCTCTCACAAATTTTTGATGCACTGAGAGATTTTATCTTTCCTCCCATATGGGTAGCATGATTTTGCAACTTTGCAAGTTTCTATTTAGAAGCTCTTTTGAGAGTTTAAATACATTTTATCTTTTTCTTCTCACGTTTTTCATTTTAGTAGCAGATTTAGCAATAATAAATTGATTTGATAATTCACCAAAGACTGAATTTTTCTGTGTCACCCCAACCTGGTGGATCTTTGCAATTGCACTTCCAGAACTCCTCCAATGCCTCTTTGATGCAGTGCCTTGAGAAGCGATAACTTTCTTTGATGATGCATACAAATGGTTAACCCGGAGTTGCTCTTTATTCCTCTAAATTCTCTGTTGCCAAAGATCTTTCAAACAATAATTTTTCTTACATTGCCTTGTGCTTTTTTGTGATTTCCTTGCTGCCTCATTTTATTTCAGCTGACCTCTGTTTCTTATAATTACACAGCTGTACTAGTTGAACACTTATAGATAATACTATTTTCTGCTATTACATTTCTGTTCAGGGATTTCTTTGTGCATCTACCTTGCATGATAGCATTTATACTCCATTCAGTTACCAACTTTGGGGATATACTTTCTGTTTTTATTCCAATGGATTTTCTGAGTGCGCTTTGCCATTTTGGGCTCAGTAGCTGCCCACAGCAAAGGTCAGCACTTTGTACTTACTCATCCTTGTATATATTTATCTACTTCCCGTTTTTACACATTGCTCATATCTTCTGGTTAACTATACCCAAGCATTTTTAAAAATCACTATGCTGATTCTCTTAATTTTAATTCCTTTTTTTTTTTTTCCCTTCTTTTAACTTCAGGCATTTCAAATGTGTCCCCTGCTGCTTTTATCCTCTTTCTCCCATCTTCCACTGCCTTATTATTTATAGAGATGTCTTACATGCTCTCTCCATGTATAAAATATTATAGGAGCGCCCCCTGAGGGGAAAATACCCCAGCACTACTCAAACAGAACAATCTATATTTCTCTCCTTCCTTCAGGACTTCTGTATTGACAGTTGTGTCAGGTTGGTCAGTAAGTGTGCAGAGGGCCAGGACATTGGAAGGAGTCGTGTTTCCAACCAGGCTGTATCAGCAGAGTGAAAAGAAAACCGTGTTGGCTCTTATTTGTTGCCAACAACAAACCTTGAGCAAAAATAGCCCAGATAGCAGCATATGGCGCCCTACTTCTCAGGGGTTCTGTCCAGGCGTTGTTTCTGGTGTACTCTTCTCTGCCCTCTTGAGTTATTAAAGATCACCTGCCCCACAGACACCTGCTGAGCAGACTCTTAATCCATGATGGCAGAGGGGGTAAGCAAGCAGGAAGGCGCTGGATTGTGCTGTGTGGGCCATTAGCCTGGCACAGTTGGTGAAAGGCGGCTGTTTCCCTGTGCGTAGCAGCAGCACCAGCATCTCTTCCAGCTTCAGGAGTTAGGAGGGACAGCGTTGCCCAGCTTTCAGGTGATGAGCTGGGCTCTGGAAAGAAGAGCGTAAAGCCCGGTGCTGCCGGTCTCCATAAGGATGAGCCCACCGTGCTCACATCACCTTCCCTGAACAGTGGTTGCCGTGTCACCCAAAGTCAGAGTTACCCTCCCTTGGCATGTGTCACAGCGAGCTGAAGTATTATCCAGGTCCATTCCATGGTGTTTTTTTTAACAAGCTTTACCATTTATTTTGTAAAGAGAGTATCTTCCATTTCTGGGCAACCGGTCCAAAACAAACACTCTGCACTGTGGACACGGGTGTGCTGGCACAAAAGGCCAGGAGCACGGACTTTACCCACCTGGACAGGTCCCTAGTCCTCATGCCCATAAGGAATGCCTTCCTTCTGTTTCTTTTGGGTTTTTGTTGGGTGTTTTTTTTTGTAACTAGCCCAGCTGCACCATTGTGAGGAGGAAATGGCAAAACCACGCCGTAGGATATTGGAGGTGAAGCAGGGAAGCCGATTTCCAGAACACTTTATACAGATTAGTTGCATCTGCTTTAGTGCAAGCGGCATTTCCGTCCCTTGAGCATCACGTTTACAAGCACAGTTGCCATTTGAAGAGTATATAATTAATTCCAAACAGTTTGAGTTTCCTGTATCCCAGCCTGGGAGACCCCACATACCAGGACAACTAACAGCCGAGGGGGCCATGTTGTTAGGTCTTGCCTGGAATACGTGCCTCCTGAAAGGTCTTTTTTTTTGGCTAGATAGGCTCCTGAAGGTTAATCCTGATGATCGCACGGCACTGTGTGATCCTGTGTGTGGTTTGCAGCCAAAGATCACCGAGATGTACCTGGTGTAGGAAGCCACAGAGGTGGAAAAAAAGGCCACCTTGCCAATCACCAGGGACCCATGATGGAGGCCTTGCTGCAGGGCGCACGAGGCACCAACCTTGTGCAGCTCCTAGTGTGTGTGATCAGCGTTGTGTCTTTGTGCATGGGCAGCTCCTGAGAAAGAACAGGGAGGATTTGCGTCCTTGGTCTTGCCTGACAGTCCCTCTCCTTTAGCACTGATGTGTACTGAACTGCCCTAGGGTGGGTGTAGACTTCTTGAGTTGTTCTCTCCAAGGAGGTACCTGGAGGTACCTCTCTCTGGTTTGTGCTCAAGACTCTTCTTACCCACCCCACCTCAGCAGGTGGTTGTGCTTAGAAAGCATAACCAAAAGGACATGGTACTCATGTCATCTAGAACTATTTGGAGATCTAATAACTCCTATTTTAGGACTTGGTCCAATCTGTGGAGTTTTTACTCTCCTAACATCACGTTTTATTTAAATGGATGAATCAATCAACTTGTCTATCTGTTTAGTGAGAGTTTCAGCAAACTGTTATACTTCTGAAGGCTGACAAAGACACTAAAGTAGAATTGAATGCACTTTAAAGGAGTTTCATATCTTTATTTTGTCCTTTTTGACAGGTACGTCTGTCGTCATCTCATTAAAAAGGGAAAAATTGTAAAACAAGTGTGTTTTCAATTGTTTTTACATCTCTGAGTGACTCACCAGAGCAGGATATAGCAAAACTTGCCGGATGTAAATAGACTAAACAGGAGAGCAGCACTCCACCCAGATATTTAAGCAATATTTTCAGCTTCCATCATTCAGTGTCTTTGCTTTCCTCTGCCCAGCCTCCTTGTTATTAATGACCATCATGACTCTCAATTGTGCCGTCTACGTATATCTCCAAACATTTGCTTTAGCTGCTGACAAACAGTGCTCAGGCTGGAGGAGCAGTAAAATGTCAGTGCTGCTTGGAATAAGAAATTCTCAGGATGCTCTGCATGCTGGCGGCTGGGTACTGTTCCCTTACAAATTCACTGCTAATTTTGATGGCAGCAGAAGCAGAGCCTTTTGTCCGTCTCCTGCCAGTGATATGGGGTCAGCGTAAGCATGCCTACACACAGGTATTCCTGAGAAAGATCGCTCCCAGAAAGGATTTCTCCTAGAATATTTTATCAGTAAACGAGCTCCATTTTGCCCTGGTTCCAGTAAGCCCTACAGGTGAACTAAGAGACCTGCTCAGAAATAATAATCACTTGTTACGTGATTTGTTGAACAACTGAGAATCATCCCTTTTGCTGATGTTTCTGTGTGGAATGTAAATATTTGACAGGTTCATCTGTGGGGCCTTAGCAGAGCTGCTCTGTATGCTGGAGTTTCTGAGAAAAGGCCTTCTTGGTAACTCTGTGGCATATGGAGATGCAGCAGTAGATGTTCGATTTTTCTTTAGTTCAGAATTCTTGAAAATATCTTCCATGTTTAGTTCACAGCCACACTCAGTAAATTTAGAGGTATTTCTTAATGTTTACATTTGTTCTTCAGTAATTCAACCTATCATGATGTCAGTGTGCCTTGGCACAGCCTAAGGAGAATGCTGAATAGATGAAGTTTCTTTTTTATTATAATTTATCAGAAATGTGGTTTTTTCCAAGCCTTTCCAGCACCCTGCTGTGCTTTTTAAAAAACTTCAAAAATGTTTCTCATGCTCTCTAGGCATACAAAAGGTTTTTTTAAGCAACACAGTCATTTTTTGTACTAAAGTCAACTAAAGGCCTGAAGAACCTCTGAATTTAAAAAACAAACAAACAAACAAACAAACAAAAACCACCCCAAAAAACCCCAACCAAAAACAAAACCCAAAGGCCTACCCGCAGAATAAGCCCAAGTAATTGGGAAGGCCTTATGTCATTCCTTGAAGGTCAGTGAGCTGCAACTAGATGGAGAAGGAAGTTTCAGTCACAGAACTGATGCTGAGAACATTGTCTTATTTCGAGTCTTCTGGAGTCAGTGCAGAATTTTGATGAACCTTCAGATGAAAGTAGTTTTTGCCGTTCCAATTATGGATCAAGGTTTCCATTTTCCTTATTTTCTTGCTTCCATCACTCTCTCTGCGGATCCAAAGTAATTAATTTCAGTTAACAAAACAGTGTTACCCAGTCTGGCTAGCTGTGGAGGTTGACTTAATGACCCCTCTCCATCTTTTAAAGCAGATTATTCTCTGAGCTGTCTCCCACTCTGTTCCTATCATTTAAAGAGAAATAGTACAAGCACCTCAGTAGATCTTGGTCACAGGGCTTTAGCAGCTCAAAACCAGCACTTAAGCTGTACTTAAGAAAAAAACTCAAAGTGCTAAGGAGACTATTCAAAGTTGCTATATTTTTTGCTGTTCACTTTATTAGCATTGAAGGCCTCATTAGGGCCTAGAGTATAGACCTCACTAGTTCTTAATAGACTGTTACAGTTTGTGGGATGGAAACTGCAACTTTCAGCAGCTGAAACTTCAAAGAAGTCTTTGAAACTATACTTGGATGGGGTGGCATGAGGCCAAGTAAGCTAATGGTATGGGTCAGCATCCTGGGTATCACCATTTGATCACCAAAGAAAAGGATTTCTGGTCACTGAAACTCTTATTTGATCTGGCTGGGAGTTTCTCTATGACATGCTACTTTTTATTAGAAAAAGCTGATTTGCCACCACAGAAAGATTTCTTAGGAACGTACCAGTTTCAATCCAGTTAAGAAACTTCCCTCAGCTGCAAGATGGACTTTCTGTTAAGAGAAATTATGTACTTCTCCAAAATAGCAAATTGTCTTCTTTGCCAGTAAACACTAAAAACCAGAACGGATCAAAAGGCAAGTCCTTATGTGCTGCTGGCTAAGGATATTAATATGTTTCCAAGCTGATTGCCCAGTCTACCAAGTTGTTTCACATTTTTACATGGTGCTTTCTGCAAAATTTCTTTGTAAGCTGCCCACTCTCCTACTTGAATAAGTGATCAAATTTTTGTTGGGTTTACAGAGAGTAACCAGCTTAGTACCTTTGGTACTCACTTAGTATATATACAACAAACCAAAGTTTGAGCCCCTGCTCTAAGGAATGCTTCTTCAAGCAAATGAAACATCTCCAACAGTGGGGAATCCCAGCCTACAGCAGTAAATAGGCAGCTGCCACTCTTACCTTGATCCTGAGACCCGAGCCTCAAACCTACACATCCTACATCTGAGTCAGTGCCCTTTTTTGCCCATCAATGGGTTGCTAAATACTTTGCGTGACTACAACTCTTCTTTTTTTTCTAATGAATCTGAAATGTCAAAAGGGCTAGCATTCACTCTAATGGACGTGACATTACCTGTCCAACAAGGAAATTGTTGTGATTGAATACTTCTGAAGAGTGGTGGGCAAAACATGCTTCCCACCACGAGCCCCCGTGGCACACAGAGAGTAGTTTTGGTGGGAACTTGAGGCTGTAGCCAGTCTGCAGAGGGTGCAACCAATTCTCTTAATTTCAACAAACGAACAAAAAGTTACTGGTTTTGCCAATTCTTTAATGTAGTTACACTGCCAGCCAGCATCACTTCCATCTGTATTTAGTCTGAAAATCAGCCAATTGGTTTTCATCCAGTTCCCCATCTCTGCCAGACATTGAGAAATCGGGGAAGCGGTTCATGTCCTCTGAGAAGGAGGCCTACAGCAACGCAGCCTGGAGCAGAGGCTCAGTGTCCTTTCCTTGCTCTACAGGCATCTCAAGCAAGAGCAATTAAAAACCTGGCATCCCATACCTGAGAGTTTTCAAGGAGGAGCAACACCTACCTCAAAATACCAGCCTTTACATAATGAAGTCAGGGAGAGGGTCATTTTAATGAAATTCTGTTAACGAAGTAGTGCTGAGATCTTGTCTCCTGTTGATCTTGTCCTAGTTGATCCTAGTGCTGTAGGATCAATGGCATCAGCATGCTGTTGGGCATCGCTGGGCTACATACTGCTATCCCATCCCAGTTTGAAGCACCAAGTGGCTGTGAGACAAAACCAGCAATATTTCTGGTTCAAGATTCCATTTGGCTCAGTGGCTGTTCTCAGGAAATGTGGATGGAGGGATGCTGGAGGTATAAAGTACCTGGTTACACAGCCAGAAGGAGACACGTTGCAGATGTGGTTTTCAAGTTTGTGGTCTTAAATGTTCATTGGGAGCATAATTCAGAACAGTAAAAATGTTTAATACTAATACTCTCATCATTTTATAGTCACACTCCACTGGGTGCAGGAGGGACTGGTCTGACTCTGAACTCCTGGAACTGGCAATCCCCACATTGCTTGATACCCATGTGATGATGTTCTTTCTTGTCCTAAATTAAATGCAGACACTTTTAGATGTCATTCTACTCACAGGTCACTTTCAGACTTGCTTGATATGGGAGGCTCTGCTTCCTGATTTAGTTTTGTCTGGCCACCAAAGTTAGTTCATGTCTTAAAATTTCATACTTCTAAAGAGCAGTAATGTTTCTCATCAAATCAGAAAAACGGATCCTTGTCTCTTTAGTATCATAGGCTAGTCTTGTCCTCATTCAAAATTCATAAAATGTACTCATTTTTTCAATGCCATACTTTAAGCTTAATGATAATGCAAGCATAGATAAAATTTGAAAGTGTCATCAAAGATATAGTCAGACTTTTAGTCCCAGGAGAAACTTTGGCCTTCAGTCAGTTAGACTAAAGAGAGGATGAATATATAAGGATTTTTGTTTGGATTGTGGATTTTTGTTGTTGTTTGGTTTGTTTTGGGGGTTGTTATTTTTTTCATGTTTTTCATACTTAAAAGGAAAAAAATTGTGCTTTTCGTCTCTAGTGCTTTATTTATTCCTGGTACAAGCAGGTCTGAAGCTGGAACTTGGTAAAAGTTGCACCCATTTTCATCAGGATGAATAGAGTCAGTAGCTAGTTTTCTTTCCATTTGAACACAAAACAGTTCTTGTTTGCAGTCGGACCCAATGGTTTTGATTCTACTAATCTCAGATAGGTCTAGATTTGAAACTTAACTTTCAGCATTAGTAGTTGTTGGCCTGATTCACTGTGGAGCGTTTTTCTGGTGTGTTAAATGTTTGAGCATTTTACTTTGAGACCTGACGTATATGCTGGTTTTGTACATTAGAGTTGCATTGATGTGGGATGGGATTATGTTCTTTTTGTTAATTGAGAGAAATATGTATTTCCCTGTATTTCTATATGGCTGTATATATTTTTGTACTGTTATAAAGGACCTTTATACTGATATACGACTATTCAACTGGTTTAATCTTACCAGTATGTTAAAGTAGTATAATTCTTGCATATAATTAAAACCATATCCTTGAAGGTGTTGTCTGTATAGTAGATGCACTTAACAAGCTCCCTGTACAGGTAGGTGCATACCTTCCTGACCTGTAATGAGACCCACGCACATGGCTATACCCGTTGACCCTGGTGCCCTGCACCATTTGTGAGAAAGAAACATGGTGAAGGGGTCTGAAACATGAGAGAGCTGCGGCACGGTCCAGCTACGCTCCCCAGTCCCAGGATTAGGTTACTGGAGCCTCTGATGGCCCTCTGCACCATCTAGATGTAGCCAAAGGTGTATCTGACTTCCAGTTGCTTTCAGTGGAAGTTAAGATGTTAATTAGATGTGCTCCCAGTTGATTTTCCAAATTCTGCGTGGTATGTCTTGCAGGATCCAACTGGAAACGGGATTCAGATACCATGGGCTACAATTACCTGGCATATCTCCACTATTATTTTATTGTTTGAATGTTGTTATTATTATTATTATTATTATTATTATTATTATTATTATTATTATTATTATTATGCAGTCCAGTACCTCATTGGAATTATTATATATTTAAAGGGACTTCAGATTGGTTTTCTTTTTAGCAGCTTAATACTTAATTCTTTTTGTACTCAATAAATATCAGATGTTCAGTAAATATTATTTTGTTTGTTGTTGCAGAATTTATTCCCCAGGCTTTTGGAATGCCGTTGTCCCAAGTGATTGCTAATGACCGGGCCTACAAGCTTAAGCAAGACTCTCAGAGAGAAGAGCAAAAAGATGTTTCAGATTTTGTGGCCTTTCTCTTGCCGTTTGGAACTAAAAGGCAGAACAAAGAACTTTCAAGCAGTAACTCATCTCTTAGCTCAACCTCAGAAACACCGAACGAATCCACTTCTCCTAATACACCCGAGCCAGCACCACGAGCAAGGAGGCGTGTAAGTATACCCATCACAGCGTGGTGCGTACCAGTCGCTCCAGAGGGTCTAGCTGGAGCAGGAGAAAACCCTGTTGTCTCTGTGGATTGCGGAGTATTTCTTTTGTCGTGTTCAAACAGTGGTTTATTTTTTTAGGTGGAAGTTGGCTTGGTCAATACCAGAAAATTCTATCTCTAGTGGAAATCTTCTTTTTCTGGTGTTGATAGGAAAAGATCATATGGACTGTACAAGTCCTAAAGTGACAGAGACATTATTTAGAAGTCTTCCTCTTCACTTCCTTTATCTATCTCCTCCTGTTTAGGTCTTTTAGATTCAACAAATTCCATCTGTCTTCAACCTCATTTTTTCAGCTGAGGGAGACTAAACCTATGTGATGGATATATATGTCTGCTTACGTTAATTTAGCTCCATAAACTCGGAAATAAATCTAACAATTAATCCCTATCCTAATATTTAAAAAATCCCTATGGCCTAACTCTGATCATGTCCTCAGTGGTAAGAAAGAAGTTGTCAAAGTAAATTTCTACCAGGCTCTTAGAAGGAAATTTCTGCATACAGGTTATGAAAATGCCTTTGGCAGCAGAACACACTGCAGTAGATTGGACTGGATGTTAATCCTGCATGTAAGATAGGTACCTGGCAGACCACTCGTTCACAGGGTTCTGTTTCTTGTAAGTAAATTTGATGTTCTGAGCTTTCCAGTTTTCCAGTACTGCAGCTACTAACAGTATTAGAATTTTTTTTTTTTTTTTCTTACCATGGGATAGAGGTTCTAAAATTACCACTTTTTAATTCCATTTGCAGTGGAGGGGGGAAAAATGCATGATAAAATAATTTTAGTAAAAACTCCTTTTAAGTAATCTGAGAAAGAATTTGGGGTAGAAGAACAGACCCTGGAAAATAAAATATTTTCTTAGGATCCGCATCTTCTTATCCCTAGGATGAAACCTGCTTCAGAGAAATGCTGTGTAGGGCTCTTCAAGCCACAGTGCTAAGAAGGGTAGAACTGGAGTAAATTGCAAATTAAGAGAAGATTGAAGAGCCCCATGACCTGCCTTCTTTCCCTCTAGCTGCCAGCTGAAGCTTATACTTGAAGTGTCTGCGTTCTGTCTGGGAATAGCTGAGGGCACAATATTTGAAGATGTTTTAATTCTTATATATGTGTAATGCGCATCTACTGGCCTGTCCAGACCATATGAGCAGGCAATTGTGTTCGCACAGAAGTGCTAAGTACACTTGAATATAAGTATGAAGGGAAATCCACCACCTTCTTTCAGAATTTGGCATAGGCAGTGACAAAAAATGGAAATTCACCGTATACACCCATTGGCTTCAGAACCTGTTTACATGTGAGGCAGAGATATTTCGTGTGTCCAGATATGGGTCATCTGCTGTTCTTTTCGTTGAAGTGTGTTAAGATCTCTGACATGCATTTGACCAGCCAGCAAGCAGAAGGAACCTGGATCCTTTGTTACATCCAAGGGGGATAGAGTTCCATCAGGACCAAGTTCCTGGAAGCCTCTGAGGGTTTTGCTTGTTTGGTTTGGGGTTGTTTTTTTTTTTTTGTTAATATGAGGATTGCAGCTTTCAGGGTGTTGAATTTGAGCCTGTAGTCCGTAGTCATGAGAATGCGGTAGCACAGAGAAGTAAGAGTAGACTAAGGTGGGCAGTGTGATGTGGAGGGAGCTGCCATTTTCTCTTGGGAATGAACCTCAGTTATTCAGTAATGTGCTTCATGAATTGTCAATTATTTAACACTAATATCAACTCATGTCCCATATCTTGTCTGTCCTTGGCCTTTATACTTCTGCTTATTAGCATATTTACTCTACTCTTTTCTAGGGGATGCTAATGAAGCCTGACTTATATTTTGTCTCTTGGGCAGTGTTGCACTGTCTGTTTTCAACTATATCAAGGCAAATGCTTAAAAATGAAATTGATTCGTTAGTACATGCTATTGACACAACCACTTTCTCACACAAGTGCTGCACAGACAGCTGGAGTGCAGTCCTCTTAAACTTAAACCGGAGGGATTATTTATCACTGTACTGTTCACTTCTTTGCACCTTCTGGGTATTCCAATGAGTCTCTTAAACCCTTAGCTGAGTCTTTCAGAAAGGGATGTAAGGTAATTCTGGCTGCAGAGCTCATGGCATGAGTGCTGTGGTTATCTTTCCTCCAAGAGCCAGACAGAAATCACTGTTGCTGCATTTTCTGTGTAGGGTTTTTGCCCAGCAGTTGGAAGTTGAGACCCTGGTATTTTCAGTGTGCTTATTAGAGAGAATATTCTGATCCTCTGTTAATACATTATTTATATATTTATATTATGCAGCCGAAACTATTTAAGTATCAGGAGCTCACTCATACTGCTTTATTGCTCACTAGCGTAATGTATGGAGTGAAAATGGATCTGCCATGGATAGTACTCGATCCCATGCATACTCTGTAATATTGCTCATCTTTTCAGAAGAGAAAAGCCTTCTGTAACCCTTAAAAAGTAAAGAAAAGCTTCATCTGACATTCATTCACACCTGTCCCTCTGGCCTTCATTTTCTTTTCGCTCTTTCCATCTCGCCTTTAATCTCCCCTTTCCTTCATGTTTCTGCGTGTTTACCTTAAGACTTGCCCAGTTTATTTAGACTTTGAGCTTGTCATGGTGGAGCAGCGATTGGCATCCATTGTGTGCAAAGGCAATGCCTAGTAGATGGAACTTGATTTTTCTTTGGTTGTTGGGCATTGCAGTCCAAGTAGCACAGTGTCTGTGTTAATAGTCCTGGAGTAGTGGGCAGCAATGTGCATGTTTTCCTGCATCATTCCTCAGCAGTCCTGTAGGTCGGGCTGAGCCCAAACTAATAGGTCTGGCTGAGTTTGAGTTGGATCCAGGAGTGTGTTGGTAGTGTTTTCCTCTGCACTTTGAAATTTAAAATCCAAATCATAGAATGGTTTAGGTTGGAAAGGACCTTGAAGATCATCGAGTTCCAACCCCCGTGCCATAGACAGGGACACCTCCCACTAGACCAGGTTGCCCAAGGCCACGTCCAGCCTGGCCTTGAACACCTCCAGGGATGGGGCTTCAACAACCTCTCTGGGCAACCTGTTCCAGTGCCTCACCACCCTCACAGTGAAAAACTTCTTCCCACTGTTTAATCTAAACCTGCCCTCTTGGAGTTTACAGCCATTCCCCCTGGTCCTATTGCTACATGCCCTAGTAAAAAGTCCTTCCCCAGCTCTCCTGTAGGCCCCCTTTAGGTACTGGAAGGCTGCTATAAGATCTCCCAGGAGCCTTCTCTTCTCCAGGCTGAACAGCCCCAACTCTCTCAGCCTCTCCTCATAGGAGAGGTGCTTCAGCCCTCGGATCATCCTCGTGGCCCTCCTCTGGACACGCTCCAGCAGGTCCATGTCCTTCTTATGTTGGCTTGGGTCCACCTCTCCAGCCTGTCCAGGTCCCTCTGGATGGCATCCCTCCCCTCCAGTGTGTCTACCTCACCAAAGAACTTGGTATCATCGGCAAACTTGCTGAGGGTACACTCAACCCCACTGTCCATGTCTGCGACAAAGATGTTGAATAGTACAGGTCCCAGTACCGACCCCTGAGGAGCGAACCAATCCCTGAGGAACAAAGGAGAGCTGGCCTGGACTCAGTATTGCCAAGCAGTACTGTACTTCAGCTGCTGAACTCAAGGTCACTCTTCCTAAAGCCAGCTCAGTGCCCAGTTAATCCACAACTTTGATAAAATGCCCGAGGATAATGGTGAACTGACTGTATTTACATCTATTTTAGGGATCTGAATCCGACTTAAGTGACTCTGTGATAATAACGATGCATGAGGTGAGGATGTTTTGCAGACAGGGAAGGACCAGTAAAGGCAGGGTGTAAAGGAGGGCACCTGTCATACAGGAACTGCCTGGGAGCTGCAGCGGTGAGGATGGTGTTAGGATTTTCAGTGTTAGTTGACTAATTTTGATGTCTGAAAGCCCAAACTCTTAAAAACAAAATAGAAAAATTGTTCAGTTGGAATTTTACACACGTGGATCATAGCCAGAGATTCTTCTTTGGTTTGGGCTTGGTTTTTTTTTTTTTTGTTTCCTTTTGGCAGGAAATGGTAAAGGGAATCAAGCAAGTGTACTCCTCAGAGACATCAGAAATCAAGGTCAAAGTTACATTATAAAGGGTCTGGTAATTGTTTAGAGATGTGGGTCCAAAAAAATCTAAAAAATTCACTGTGTTTTATTTATAAGCCTTCCATGAGTTATAAGAAACAGAACTGTACCTGATAAGTTAGATGCTTTTTTAAAAAATATATTATGAACTAAAATATTTCAAATTCATTTGAAATCTCAGTGGACTTTGTATGAGCTGCCTTTGAGTCGGAAATGTTTGTAAAGTTCAGTTGTCTAGGGTGATGGAAGAAAAAACTTCTAGACCTTGAAATTCCCTAGCGGTTATACAGTTCTCATTTAAAAGACATAGAGATCTCACCAGCAATCTATAAAATACCTGTCAGCGGAACAGTGTGCTTTTAAGAAATTAGAGTTCTCAGCAAAGTTTTGAATGGGGATTTACATTTTCATCATTATTTCTTTGCATGACAGGCTTGATCCCTGTACAGTACATTTTATGTTATGGTAAAATGTATCCTTTGTTTGGGAAAGAAAGAAAATAATTTACAATAGATATTTTAATGAAGATTAAAACTGATATTTTTCTTCTTGTTTTATTATTATTTATAAGCCTAGATGTCCCCTAAAATTTTTTTGCCTGGTAAGTTTAGTAAAAATTAAGAGAAATGGTCATTTTGAAGAGACGGTAATCTTGTGGTTTGAAAAAAAAATCTTAATTTTCAACATTGAAACATGCCATAAACCTCCTGCTGCTTCTGCTGCTTTGTCCTTTACAGACTGCCTGAACGTCTGTGCCTTGTTGTAATCCAAACAGTTTTCAAAGCTTTCACTGGAATTTTAATGATTTTAAAATATTAAGACACATGAAGTAGAACTATCTAAAAAATTTTACCCTTGTACTTCTCTAGTGTCTCTTTGTTCTGTGATAACATGGGATTATATCAATCCCTGCAGTTGTATGTATTTGTGTTATTAGTTAACTGTATGTCATATATGGTTGTAAATTTGGTTGCATCATTTCCACCGATACAATGGCCCAAGCTGCAGAGAAGTAGGGAATCAGCTTTAAAAATGTGTATATATCTCCATGCACATAAATATTGTACTGCTGAGGTGCAGACACAGACCATTATTCATCCTTGTCCTGCAGTATGTGCAGGCTTACAGCAATAAAAAGGTGTGCTGAGTGAGTGGAAAGCATTTATTTTTTTCAACATCTAATTTGTATTCCTTGTAGCATGGTAATAATAGTATTGGTGCCATTGTGATTTTCCCATCCGTTACACTGATGTTGTAACTTCATTAATTTACAAAAACTGTAGCAAATTGTATTTTTATATTAGTCTATTTAAAATGCAGGGAGGCAAAAGGTTTTGTCAGATAATGTCCTGTGGTGGTTATATTTCTCCATCTGTACTGATTTTTCACGTGTGTTTATTTTACAGGGTGCAATGTCTGTGGACTCTATTACAGATCTTGATGACAATCAGTCACGATTGTTAGAGGCTCTCCAACTCTCTTTGCCAGCAGAAGCCCAGAGCAAAAAAGAAAAGGCAAGAGATAAGAAACTAAGCCTGAATCCAATTTACAGGCAGGTTCCCCGGCTTGTAGATAGTTGCTGCCAGCACTTGGAAAAGCATGGTAAGAATATTTTGTTTTCCCAGGAGTGGCAGATATATTTTTACTATAAAATAAATAAATGCATATTTTGAGAAGCAAGCACGTACTTCCAATTGCAAGGACATCTTTGAAAGTCAGACGCTTTCCCCTCCTATTTTGCCTCTTGCTAAAGATACTGTCTGACAAATAATTGCTTCGGTGATATCTTCCCAAACTAAGGATCTATGCTACAGGCTTGAAAACTGGCCCATACAGCACAGGGGAAGAGACATTTCTTGGAGGTCAGTCATTTTGTCCTAGAGGGCTCAACTCTGCAGGAGCAGCTCTTCACACCCCAGGGGTTTACCCAGACCTTGAGAATGAAAGGCTGAAGTGTGCCAGTCAGCCTCGAGACATTCTTTGCAACCAGTAGATCTTAAGGTGTAAGAACTAAATTAACCATTTATCCTAAAGTGCAAGACTTGATTAGAAACAACATTTGAAGGTAGAGGCTCAGAGAAATTAAAAAATCCCATGCCGAGTTATATTAAGCTCCAAGAAGCTTTTTCCCGTTTGCTACAAGGCTTGCAGGATGCCTACTCAGTTTGTCCCTGGCTTGAGTCCTCCTGACCAGCCTCAGCCTGCTCTCTCCAAAGGGAATTATAAACTCCTGCCAATATTCTTTTCATGTCGTCATGATCATCCAGACGCAAACCTCCCACCAGCTTTATGTAATGCAGAAACAATAGTTAATCAAGGTATCTGTTCAACATCTCTCCCAATGTATCTTAGTCCTGTAGAGATTTTTAATGAGAATTGAAATAACTTGACCACAGCAAGGCGGAGTTATCACATGGCCAGATAATAAACAAACCATTAAGTAATGGTGACTGCAACACCAAGTGATGCATTTGATGCCTAATTTGACCAGAAAGAAATCATTTACTGACTGTGAATGAAAGGCTTTTGCAAATGAGGGACTGCAATTTAAACAACAATGCTAAGCTTTTACAATACGTCATTGAAAACTATGTTGCTTACAAATATATAAAGAAAAACTGCGAAAGAGAGTCATTGTTCTCCTTTTACAGAGATTAGATACCATAGCTGACAAGTAAGTGTGGGGATGATTAAGTTTGAAAAGAATGACTCTCTTCCCCTTAAGCAAGGGTAGCTGAGTTTGGAGAGTATAAAAGTGTCTGAGTCAGGCAAAAAATCCATCCAGCTGAGTATCGTTTGGATACTGTGATTTTATGTCACTTGAACATCTGTGACAAATTTTTTTAATCCACTTAGCCCACTGTTATAAAAAAGGTTCTTTTCTGTACAACATTCTTTACTAAAATATTTGCTTTACATTAAAGTTTCCTTTTAAAGAAAATTTATGATTTTTTTTTGTGCATTTTCTAAGAGTGCACTGTAATATGCCATAACACAATAATCTGAGGTAGTTTGGTGCAAATATCGATACTCTTCAGTTTTCAATTTAATCTTCCATCCACAAAACAGTCATTTGGATTGGCTGACTTTGAGAAATTTAAAGATTGCAGAAGACGGACACTGCTGTTCGCTCATTGACTTCAGGGATAATAGAGGACTTTCTGTTCTGGCAACAATCCTTTAGTAACATCATTCCAGGGTGTATGACAGACCAAGTTCCTGATTCTGAAAATAGTTGCCTGTATGCATAAGGCCTTTAGGCCAATTTTTCAGCAGCAAATCATCTAGGGGTGTCTCATGAATGTTTTAAATGACCATTTTGAACATTATAGGAGAAAAAAATGGTTATTTTTTTACCCATAAAAGCCCCTGGCCTTGTTCACCTGCTCCATTTTCCCTGGGGTCATGTCCCAGAGTTGTAAAGGTTTGACTTCCTCCAAACCTGCAGTGTAGAACAAATACTGTATGTTTGTGCAGGGACTGGTAACCAACCTCCAGTTTTCACCCAATATGAGTAGCTCCATCTCAAATGATTCCCTGCCAGCGATCCTGGGTTTACTCTACATTATTCCATCAATTTAATTTTCTGTTATCCAAAGACAGAAGAATATTTGAAGTGAAGTGTCGTGTTGAGACTGAAAACTAAAGGGCGGAATGCTGTCTGAGTTTTCTCTGATGAAAATCTGCAACTCCAAACACCACTGTGAAGCTGCACATCTCTAGCAAGCGGGTGTAGCCTCGCGGCTGTCAAAAGGCATTTGTTTTGTAATGTTCTCTTACATCTCCTGTGTATCAGTAGAGAAAATGAATGTTGCAGAGTAGCCTTTGTTAGACCATAAACTTTTCAAAGCTTATAGATAATTAATCCTTTTTGCAAAAAAAAAAAAAAGGTCTAACTGTGCAAAATGATACTATGTACACAGCTGCTTAAGTCTCTAAGATTTTCACTTACATTCTCATTGCTAAAGACCATCTAACCTCCAATGTGACATTCACTCTTGATTTTTTCCGGGAAAGTATGTCTATTCAACAACCACATTATCGTTTGTTTGATATTCTGTTAGTATCTACAGGGCTAGAAGAAGTTTTGAACCGGTTTCTCATGGAATAGCAGGCGACACACATTCCCAAACCACTCTAAGTCTAAATGACAGAGGCACACCTTCTGCACTTTGCCTGCAGTACAACAGTATTTCCTTATACCTTTCCCTCTATATAATAGCTGTTCCTACCCTATAAACTGCTCTCAACTCCTAGGGAGAGTTCTTCCCCCTCATAATCTGCCTGAGTGCCCTACTTATGTCCCTTTGAAAGAAACTCTTGGCTTTGTCTTCACCGGCACTATAAATCCAGCAGGTAACCCCAAACACTAGCTGCTTCCTGTATCCAAAGACACAGCTCCATGTCTGAGTATTTTGTTATTTTATTGCCTGTTTCCTTTGATGTCGGTCCTGGAAGTGGCACCTCCAACCGCTGAGCAGTGCCCCACTATCTGCGTACCTCTGTCCCTCACAAAGTAGTAGTAACACTACCAAAATGGCATCTCCAGAAATGTCACAAAGATGCTGTTTTGCGGGTTAGGTGATGTGAGGTCCTTAAGAAGTACACTGGATGGCTTCTTAATCCAAGAGAGCTGAGTTTTGCCTCAGTATGGTAAGTACAAGTTTGTAAAGAAATACATTGGGTTTTATTTTTACTCTTTTAGGTACACACATAGCCCAGATTGCTTTGGTTCAATGCAATTCTCAGCAGAAAATTAAACAGTAAAACAGTTGTCTGATGTGCTATACTTGCAGGTCTCCAGACAGTAGGAATATTCAGAGTTGGAAGCTCAAAAAAGAGAGTAAGACAGGTGAGTGGATATGGATATATTTTTCCCTCCTCAGCTTTGATACAAACAAACCCGATTCCTTTCTGTTGGGTGACTTCCTCCCCATCCATCACCTGGTGAAAGTCAGGTTCTCTAGGTCAGTGACTTTATTGTGTTTTTGATGGCTCATAACTGGCTGTTTCCAGTCATCTTTTACATTTGATGAAATCCGTGTCAGGTTCTCGGCAGGTTAACAGTCTTTACATGTTTTGTTCTGGAGAAGTAGCACAGGGTTGGAGATCAAAATAGACTACAGTGATGAAATTGTGCAAAGGTTACACTGTAGGGAAAAAATAGGGAAAAAAAAATCTTGGCTGCTAGTTTCATCTCAGAAACAGCTGAAGCTCCCAAAGTAAACCCAAACTGTAAATCTTTTTTGGAAAACTTACAATATGAGAAAATATGCAAGTACAGACCAATCTCTTTGACCCTCAAATTGCTGCTCCCAAATATCACCTTTTTTTTTTTTTTTTTTACCCCTGTTAAACTTGAAGGTCAAAGGAGACCCATCCAAGCCCTAGTCTCAGCCAAATGTTGAAAAAGCAAAGACAATCTCCAGTTAGGTTCCAGAGACAAAGTCAGAAGTGGGTGTTTCCTCAGCCTAGATATTTCATTGTTTTTCCCAGAAGTCGGGAATACATGTTGAACTAGAGTGGGAGAGAATAGTGCTTTATGATTGTATGATGCCTGGGGAGAAGATGAAAAGTTACAGGAAAATACCCCTGGTCAGGAAGTGTAAGACCAAAAAGACCAAATATAAAAAAGCGTAAGAAAGCTTGACTGCATCCGATCCCAGAAATAATAGCTCTGTGTTGCAGAACTGCACAACATAATGGTTGGCTTTCTGGAAAGTTACTTTGAATAGCTGAACTGACTCGATTCTGCCTGATACAATCAGCCTACTGAGTTGTAGTTTCTCTAGCAGTTTCTATTGCTGAGTGGCTGGTGTAACACAACGCTAAAAACTTTTATGGTCTGCAGAGACCATCATTAGATCAACACTGAACTAGGTAAAGTATTGAAAAGTAAGTTGCCTGTCATTTGCATTGCAGGCTTCAATGTCAAAACGTATATTATCATTCAGGGGTGAGTACAATTACATCATGCCTCTGGGGAAAAAGCAGAGGGCTTGTATCGTTTACTTGTAAGCTAAGCCTTACTCTGAACATCAATAACTTTCTTCAGTTTTTCTTTTACTGTGTTTTCAAAAGCTAAGGAAATAAAGAGATTTGGGTATTTATGTATTCTATTACATGGACTAATTTATTGAATTAGGTGAACTAATATATTTCACTAAACAACATGGAAGCGTCAGCTTGGCCCTTGCAGTTACAATAATAAATGCTATCAACATGAACACATGGGAAAGTCTGGATTCGATTAAAATTCCACTCATTTTCTGAACCATGGAAAGCCAAACTCAGTGCTTAGATTTTGGTGTGCTTTTGCAGCTGTTTGTTAGTTTTTCTTGTGTAGAAAGTAGGCATAGTTTTGCTTCCCTTCCTCCCCCAGTTAGTTAGAAAATGTCCCATTTCAACTGTAGTTTGTTGCAATACATTCATAAGCAAATAAATGCATGTGCCAGCGGGGTTTTTGGTTGGTGAGCAGGAAGAGAAAACTCTAGAACAACTGTGTCTATTACGAACCACCTCCTTCGTATGAAGCGTGGTGTGGAGCAAAGATTCCTGAGCTAGGGTTGACTCAAGGTGGTAGGTCTGGTACGTTCGTGTGGCAGGTACCAACTTGTACCTGGAAACTATACAGGTGCTCAAGCAGAGCATCATTGCTGAGCTGAAGGTGGGCAGCCCTCTGTGCTGGGCCTGGTGACTTGGAGGCAGCTCTGCAGCTCTACCTTGACTTTGGCAAGGCTTTCGACACTGTCTCCCACAACATCCTCACAGGAAAGCTTAGGAAGTGTGGCTTAGATGAATGGACAGTGGGGTGGATTGAGAACTGGCTTACAGATAGAGCTCAGAGGGTGGTGGTTAGTGGCACAGAGTCTAGTTGGAGGTTAGTAACAAGTGGTGTCCCTCAGGGGTCAGTACTGGGCCCAGTTTTGTTCAACATATTCATCAATGATCTAGATGAAGGGATAGAGTGTACCATCAGCAAGTTTGCTGATGACACAAAACTGGGAGGAGTGGCTGACACGCCAGAAGGCTGTGCTGCCTTACAGCGTGACCTCACCAGGCTGGAGAGTTGGGCAGAAAGAAACCTTATGAAGTTCAACAAGGGTAAGTGTAGGGTACTGCACCTGGGGAGGAATAACCCCATGCACCAGTACAGGTTGGGGGCTGACCTCCTGGAGAGCAGCTCTGTGGAGAGGGACCTGGGAGTCCTGGTGGACAACAGGATGACCATGAGCCAGCAATGTGCCCTGGCGGCCAAGAAGGCGAATGGCATCCTGGGGTGCATCAAGAAGAGTGTGGCCAGCAGGTCGAGGGAGGTCATCCTCCCCCTCTACTCTGCCCTGGTGAGGCCGCATCTGGAGTACTGCATCCAGTTCTGGGCTCCCCAGTTCAAGAAGGACAGGGAACTGTCCTTTGCTGGAGAGGGTCCAGCAAAGGGCAACGAAGATGATTAGGGGACTGGAGCACCTTTCTTATGAGGAAAGGCTGAGGGATTGGGTCTCTTTAGTCTAGAGAAAAGAAGATTGAGGGGGGATCTTATTAATACATACAAATACTTAACGGGAGGATGCCAGAGGGATGGGAGCAGTCTTTTTTCAGTGGCGCCCAGTGATAGGACGAGGGGTAATGGGCATAAACTTGAACACAGGAAGTTCCACCTTAACATGAGAAGGAACTTCTTTACTTTGAGGGTAGTGGAGCACTGGAACAGGCTGCCCAGAGAGGTGGTGGAGTCTCCCACTCTGGAGACATTCAAAACCCGCCTGGACGCTGTCCTGTGCAACGTGCTGTAGGTGACCCTGCTCTGGCAGGGGGGTTGGACTAGATGATCTCCAGAGGTCCCTTCCAACCCTAACCATTCTGTGAATTCTGTGAATTCTGCAGGTGAAGCAGCTGCCAGACCCTGAGGTTGAAGAGCGGCATGGCCGGAGCTCTTCTCTCCCATCCCCTCTCCCAGCAGTGATGTCCTCAGCTCTCACATCTTAAGCTCCAGTGAACACTGTAGTTCACCGGGTGTACTTTCCAAAAGTCCGAAAGTATTCCCTGTGAATGAAGTCTGAGACACTTAAAGTTTAAACTTAAAAATACACAGTTTTAACAGCTGGGATACCTGGGCCTGAAATGTGGCCATGTTTCATCAATGATTATCTGATATTGTGCTAATTAGGACATCTCTGTAGGCCTCACAGGGTATCAGATCAGAAGTGCCATCTTCAAGACTATAGCAGCAGTCTATGATTTAGACAACTATTTGGGAAGTCCAAATTCCTGATGCAGTGCTAATCTGTTCCTTCAGTTGCTTTTGTGCAGTCAGTGCAGAAGCAATCTTCTGGATAGAGGTAATTTATAGTGCTCCATAGAGATGTTCTCCATTTGTGACCAGTCTGAAGAGTACAAAAAAGGTGGGAATGAAATCCCCACGTTGGCACTGGAAAATCTTTGAGCGCAAATCAGTGGGGGGAAGCGTAATAACAGATAAAAAACAAATTCTGGTCTTCATGGCATAATTATTCATTATTAATAATTAATTATATTAATAATGTTAAAAGTAGTCTCAATAAGTTAGAAAGGAGGCTGTAGTTTTTATAGAATACCTTTCACACCTGCTATGAAAGCACAATTTCAGCTGAAAATATGGGATTTTCTACATTCCTCCACACTATACACACTCATAGAATCATAGAATGGTTTAGGTTGGAAAGGACCTTGAAGATCATCGAGTTCCAACCCCCCGGCCATGGGCAGGGACACCTCCCACTAGACCAGGTTGCCCAAGGCCACGTCCAGCCTGGCCTTGAACACCTCCAGGGATGGGGCCTCAACAACCTCTCTGGGCAACCTGTTCCAGTGCCTCACCACCCTCACAGTGAAAAACTTCTTCGCACTGTTTAATCTAAACCTGCCCTCTTGGAGTTTACAGCCATTCCCCCTGGTCCTATCACTACATGCCCTAGTAAAAAGTCCTTCCCCAGCTCTCCTGTAGGCCCCCTTTAGGTACTGGAAGGCTGCTATAAGATCTCCCAGGAGCCTTCTCTTCTCCAGGCTGAACAGCCCCAACTCTCTCAGCCTCTCCTCATAGGAGAGGTGCTTCAGCCCTCGGATCATCCTCATGGCCCTCCTCTGGACACACTCCAGCAGGTCCATGTCCTTCTTATGTTGGGGACTCCAGAGCTGGACGCAGTACTCCAGATGGGGGTCTCACGAGAGTGGAGTAGATGGGCAGAATCACCTCCTTTGACCTGCTGGCCACACTAATGATGCAACCCAGGATACGGTTGGCCTTCTGGGCTGTGATTGTACTTTGCTGGCTCATGTTGAGCTTCTTGTCAATCAGCACACCCAGGTCCTTCTCCTCAGGGCTGCTCTCCAGCTATTCCCCGCCGAGCCTGTATTTGTGCTTGGGATTGCCCTGACTCAGATGTCTAGGATCTTGCACTTGGCACTCAAGATAGATTTGCTTGTGATCAAGATTTGCCACAGATTATCACAGACACATAGTTTGCTAGTGACTTACCTTCTTCTTTTTGATACGTCTGTGATAATCCTGGTACAGAAAGCTATTACCTCAAATTTCCTCTTGTTTAGTAAGATTTAGATAGAATTAGTCTCTGAGAAGATCATGTGAGATCACAATACCTCGTAATATTTGCAAAGATAGAAAATTTTCATAGGAAGTAGTTTTAAAACATCTTGATTATTTTCAAAATGAAAAGAGAATAAAAGGTGAAGCTCTCAGCCTGAAGAAAGTATTCTGCTGGTGGTGCTGGGAAATCTTTCCAGAAAGTCAGGCTTTTATTTTTGTAAGGCATATTGGATGTGAGAGAGGGATTTCTTCTGCCTTTGGGAAGTGTGATGCCTTTGAGTTATACAGAATTTGTCTGAGGACTGTAGCTGGAAAAAAATAGTGATACCTTGTAATGGTGTTAGCTTGCTGTTTGTTAACTCCCTAATGATGAGCACTTAGTGAATATAACTAAATTAGGAAAGCAGAGCAAGATATGTATGGACAAATGCCATGAAGTCTTAGTGAACCTGGTGACTTACTGCTTATGCTTAAATGTAGTCTTAAATCACAAGAGAGATGTGAGTTTCATGGATTGTAACATTGTTGTAGTATTATTATTAACATCTTTGTACAAAAGTATATATGTTTTGAAATGGAATTTTAGTCTTTCCAGTCCCAAAATCTAGGTAGAATGCAGTAAGGTGCTGTAAGAAAGCCTTTCTTGCAGTTTTCCTTATTCTCTCTGGTTTCTGCCTTTGATATGAATCTTAACTTTCTGCTAAAATTACATTTACTTGGCCATATTTTTTCATAAAAGAGTGCCATATATTAGCTGGAAAGAAAGAACTGTATTTTATTATAGTCTGGTACAAACCTTAAGTTATGTATCATGGAATAAGCAGCAATTAGACATGAATTATACCTTTGACCTTACCAAAACTAGTCATGTGCAATCTGGTAAGTGAAAATGAGTAAACCTACATCTTGAAAGATCTTCTGTGTTGGGATGTACTAATTGGGACAATGATAAGTGACTGTGGTTTTGTGTCATGATCTTTTTCAGTTACGTGAAGAGTTTGACCGGGGCATAGACGTTGTGTTAGACGAAGAGCACAGCATTCATGATGTTGCTGCTTTATTAAAGGAATTTCTGCGTGACATGCCTGACCCACTTCTCACCAGAGAACTTTACACACCTTTCATCAACACTCTCTGTGAGCTCTGCAGCATTTTGATTTACTGATTTTCAAAAGCATACCTGTTTGAATCCTGTAATCTCTACTAACTATATTTTTTTTTCTGTGTATTTAATACTCTGGCCTTGATTTGCTCCAAATATTTATATAGTATAAATTTGCTGAGGTCTTTCCTTGGTTTCATACTGTGTAAGTATACCCCAGAAAACTAGAACGACAGGTACTTCACTTATTATGCCTATTTTTTGCATTCGTGTATAGGATGGAGTTCATATTACCTATTAAATCCTGACCCTGTAATTTGTTCACCATTGGCAGCTGACAGAGCCCCATTTGAAGCCTGGTCTCCTAGTACCATTAACGCTTTTAACTTTTAGAGCTGTTCACTGACCAAGAATTCCAGTCTGGCTTCAAAAACCTAGCTTCAGAAGTTCAAGTTTCATCATAATTAATGGTCCTTAAAGCTGACCTTTTAAATACTCCCAAATGTGTTGCCTTATGCTAAGACCTGGGTGCAGACTCTTGCAGATTTGGGGAAAAGTAAAGTTGGACCCTTCAAGCTTAAGCTGCTGCCTGGTCTGTGTTTTTTAGATTCTTTCTAGCCCTCACGTCTGAGATCCTGCCTCTGTCCCACCTTTGTCACTGGTTGCCATTGCATTTTAGATGGTTAAAGTGATAGTGATTGCAGGACATCCTTTATATCTCTGGTTGCTTTCCCAGTCTCCTAGTAGCTCTGCAGGATGTGAAATTGTAAGAAAACCCTTTTAAAATTACTAAAGCATAAACTTGACTGGAATGCTTCCCAGTGGTGCCCTGTATATACCAGTAGCTATACCTAAATGAATGGAATAAGTGGAAAATTAAACAGAATTTTTGTGTTCAGTGGCAGCGATGGAGGGCGCAACATGGATTTTGCTCTCTTACGGGCTGAGAAAAGATCCTATGAACCTGTGGGCAAAAAGTTGACCAAACAAGTCAAAAATCCCATAACAGTGTTTGTTACACTTTTGATACTTCCTTAGAGTTTTCTCTTTTTCTTCTGACATTATAAGGAAAATGATCCTTAAACAAAGCTATTCTTATGCCTTCCTTTGGGCTGGGAACAGTATGTTTGTTCTGCTTTTAGGTTAGTTGGAGTGATTTTCTTAGCATGTATTTTTTCCCCTCTTAGTATTAGAGCCAGATGAACAGCTAAGCACCTTACAGCTTCTCATTTATCTTCTACCTCCCTGTAACTGCGATACCCTACACCGGCTGCTGCAGTTCCTCTCCACAGTGGCTGGCCACGCAGAAGACACCACAGACAAAGATGGCCAAGAGGTAAGTCCTGGTCGCTTCTGTCCTTTAACTTCGCTTAATTCATGGTCTGAAAAGAGATCTTTAAAGAAGAAAAAAGCACAATGGTGGCATACCCCTGAAAGATGGGAGACATTTCATATTCTTGCCTGTGCATTTGCCATTTAGTTGTTTTCTATGTTCTTAGGGCTGTGAGAATATAATTTTTAGATGACTTAATGAATTCTCTCCTTTGGAAGATTCACAGCGTAATCAACCTTGTTGTTAAGAATGTGTCATGTTATCCATCCTTTTCCCCCCCTTGTTTTATCCTATTATGTTCTATGGAAAAAAGACTCACATAAGAAGGTGCCAGGCATTCAAGAGTATGCTCTTTCATTCTCTTTTCATTCTCTGCTGTTGTTTTCTTATATGACCTTTGGACACAGCAGTTCACTTCTTGGTTCCCTTAGCTTCCTTGTATGCACTGGGTAGCGAAGAAGAAAAAATAAAAGACAGGAATTACACTTGCACCCTTACAACTGTCGGAGTGCAGTCACTAGTGCAATCAGCGGTTGGAGTCAGGGTCCATCTTTTTGCCTGTTTTCCCTCTGCCCTCTTTCTGTTGAGTTTTGGACCAAATACAGTGGAGAGGTTGGAGTGCACCCATCCCGCAGAGACACAACACCCACAGCCATGTAGCTAAGCTGTACTGAGCATTCACACGTGTGCGTCTGAGCTGTTCACAGTAGAGAACACCTGAAAATCCAGGCTTCCCATTTTCTGCCAGGAAAATGCTTGAACTAGTGGGCTGCTCTGCAAAAGGTGGCAACTCTGTTAACCTTGAATGAGATGGATACGGTCTGTCACTGCTTGACAAAATTGTACCAGTGTATCTGTGGAAAGGACTTCTCTGTCCTCTGAACTGCAGCAGAGACTATTTCTGATGTTACTTCTGAGACTCTTCTGAAATTCTTAGAGGATTTTGTCTGCCACATGGAAAAACCTGCTGACTTCTGTCAAATTTGGACACCTTTTTGCAGTTGGCTGCTTTTAACAATTGGCACTGAGACTTGAGTTTTGCCAAATTTCTGCCTCAAGTCCTAACTTCCAATGTGCTGTATATGACTTCAAGGACTGTTTCACTTTTAAATCTATTTTAAATGCTATTATTCTTGTCCTCAGGAAGGAGCTGATAAAAAACTGCACCCCTATGATGCAAAGCATTTAAAAAGAGCAGCCTGTAACAATTTTACTGTGCTTAAAAACATCACGTGTATAAGCCAGCCAGGGGCTGTGGTCCCCCTGGTCCTGCGAAGAGTTCCCTGTTGGTTCCGGAATGTACCCGAGAGGATCTTATTGCAGGGCTAGAGGCTGATGCTGCTTAAGAGAGTTGCTTTGGCACAACAGTTGTGTTAAAGGCATTTTCATTCCCCTTAACAGTATCACAGAATCACAGAATGGTCAGGGTTGGAAGGAACCTCTGGAGATCATCTAGTCCAACCCTCATCTAGTACATCAGCTCTGCTACAGGTATTTTGGCAAGGCAAATTTATGTAAGCTATCTTGGCAGTATTATAAGCATCAGGAATATTATGTGCAATTGGATGCCTTTTATAGATAATACAGTATTCTGATCACAGTTATTTAAGCTATTCATTAATAATTAAGTGAATAAAGGCATACAGGGCAAGAGAAAGTATTTTATCAGACTGTTAGCTATCACTGGAAAACACCCAAGCTTTGGCACGCAGGCCCTCTTCACAATTCTTTCAAAAGCCCTTCTCTCACGAAGATGAAGACAGATGACTAACTATTAAAATTATTCATTCAATTAATTTCAGTGGATATGTTTACAACATTTTTTAAGGGATGCCCCGAGGCTGCCCTTAAGAAAAGACTCACTGTTTGTACAAACAGCCTGCACGTGCAGATCCGGGCACAGCCAGAGTCTGCCCCTGGCACACTCGAGGCACCGCCTGCCTGTGCATCCTTGGTGGCTCACTACTCTGACAGTATTTAAAAAGCAGGTCACCCGAAAAAACAGCTGGGTGCATGGTGGTGCGCAAATAAGGGAGTGTGCGGTACTCGCAGTCACGCTGGGATGAGTCTCTAAACAAAGAGCCAACATGTTTGTTACGACTGCCTATGCACCTACTTAGTGCAGATGTCTTTCCAAGGTTACACGGTGGCCCCACCGATAAAAAGAAAAGCTCTTTTTACTGTCATCTCTATGCCGTCTAGTTGAGCTCTGTAAAAAATAAACCAGGTGCAATCGGTGGACAGTTTTAAGTTCAACTAGAACATTCAGTAAATACCCTGCTACAAAAAAAAAAAAAATAATACTGCTTTGAAAGGATTCCTTTTTTTACCACTCATTTCTTTAAATGCTATTTTTACTGCCTCTTTTTGGTGCCTTTTCCTGTCCTTTTTTTTTTTCATTAATTAGTTCAAATGTAACTGAAACGAATGAAAAATTACTCTCATGATATTTTCTTGTTCTTTAAAAAAAGCCTGCAAGAAGTACTGGGTCAACAGCTGAAATTCACTTAGTCTTATATAGTCAAACTACTGGCATCTTCTTCTGCATTCCCAGAATAGCAACCAAGTGGAGACACAGAGAGGAAGCACATGACCCCTAGTTTTTGCTCTGTTAAAAGAATAGAAGGGGAAAAAAGTAGTCTAATCACAAATGTGACAATGAAATTTTTGATTTAATAACCTATATGATGTATTTTTCAGATAATTTCTGTCTAGTCTAGTATGTATTCCTAGCCTTCTACTTCCTCCAAAATCAGGTTACTATTGCTTCCTTGAACACAGAGTTATGAAAGTAGGAAAAAAAGTAAAAAAAACAACAAAACAAAACAAAAAACATCCACCAGACAAGTAAACGTTTGGCATGTTCTAGGAAACAAAAAGACACGAAAATACTAATACAAATAACGAGCATGCTCCTTAATGATCTAAACTATTTTAACGTGGAAAAGTGTGGTTTTCTTCACTATATCTGTTTCAAATCTTGCATGCTACTTGAGAAAGCTAACAGTTTTCAGTATTTGGTCCTAAGAGACAGTAATATGCTGCGGTGGTGAAGTAGGAGGGAGGTTCCCTGAGTTCAGAAGAAGTATGCCACTGCTGAGCTTCCAGGGAATTAAGGGCAGGCTGCATTTCCACCTTTTACTCTTCCAATCCATTTGAAAGTACATCCAGAAAATCCACGGTGCTTGTTGCAGAGATGTCCGAGCAAGGTGTTTCAGCATTTCTAAAAAATTGTTCATTTTTTATTTCACTAGCACTCAATTTGGGGTTTGATGAATGAAGCATCTGCCGAATAAGGGGCGGGGAGAGAGAGAGAGTGTGTGTAGATGTGTGTATCTGTATACATTAGACACTGGGAGACCCTACCTCATTTATATTCTGTTTTCTAGATTACTGGGAACAAAATGACATCCCTTAACCTGGCTACCATCTTTGGCCCTAACTTGTTGCACAAGCAGAAATCTACAGACAAAGAATTCTCGGTTCAGAGCTCAGCTCGAGCTGAAGAGAGTACTGCTATCATAGCTGTCGTACAAAAGATGATCGAAAACTATGAAGCCCTTTTCATGGTAGGTTGATGTTTCTTCATGTTACTCCTACGCATTTTTAAGTTAAATGAGGAAATACCTGGTTGGTATTAAAGTAGACTAGGATGAAATAAGCTGTGGAAACTGCACTAAATGAGGGTCCGTTGTCATTTGTAGAAAAAGTAGCCTTCTATTAAGGACAATGCTTTGCAGTAAGCAATAATATTAAAAATGTGTACTTATATCTTGCCTGGAATGCTTTCTGTGTAGGTAAGAGTATCTTCCTTAGAAGATTTCTGTCTGTGGAAATGATGGGGTTGGCTATTCAGTTGTATACTAAACAATGTACCAGCATTGCTCATTAGTTTTGAAGACAAGACTGAAAATGACCTTTTACCTCTCAGTTTTGGAAGTCAGGGAGCCAGTTTTTCTGCAGGTAGAAGAGATTCTTCGTTCAATTAAGGAACAGCCTCCCCTACTGAAGAGTTTCTTCTTTGGATGGGGAGGAAAGACAAAGCTTTCTTGTTTGTCAGTTGGATAGGAGTAGTAAAGAATAAATCTGTGTTGTTCTTGAGTACTTTTCTGTTCTTTTGCTGAAGCAAGGAAGTCCTTCATATAAGGGATGATGACCTTGGACTTAGACACACTGCCTGCTTAAGGTGCAGCTTAGATTACATTCCTTGTGCCTAGCAGTTACCTGGACAGTTCATTCTGTGGCTTTACCTTTTTGTCCTTTTGTCTACAAAATTATGGATCAGTGTAGCATGATTTTTGCCTAAGAGAGCCCTGCTCTGGGGTAGCAGAGGCCAGTCAGAACTAGTGGCGGGCACTATCCTGTCTTTATGTTAGTAGGCATACATGTCTTAACAAAAACAGAGGTGTTGAAAAGGTGAAAATAGCCTCATTTGTTGTGTCTTGAAACTAAGCAGCACTTTGTGTTATACTGAGGAGATTTATTCCCAAAGCAAGAGGAAGAACACTCTGGAAAACTCCTTTAGTGCTCCAGCAAAGCTGGGTGCAGGATACAACTTTGGTGGGAGGAGATGGAGAAGCCTGGACTGTGGGCACGTAGGAACTGATGGACACATAGTACTGTAAGGGGAAGGTGCCTACCAGGTTTCAGCAGGGAGAGGAGCATGAGGAAAAGAGTCATGAGCCCTGCCTATCAATCTTAGCCTCAGATGATTTTCTTTGTGGTTTTCTTGTCTTTCCCCTCACACTGTATTGCTTTTCATTACATCCTTTGCTTTATTTTTATTCTTGTTCCAGTGAGACATTCAGCAATCTTTTTTTTCTTTTTCTTTTTTTTTTTTTTAATGCTTTTCACAGTTTGGGGAAACTATAGGTGCTATTTTTCCTTCCACAGCAGGAAAAGAAAGTGACAGAATGGCACTCTTGTGTGAAGGTCTGCTGGCCCAGAGCATGGCTGACACTAGCAAGTTTAAAATAATACTTGAATAAGAATACTTGCTATACTTTAAGTTTTCTTATTGTTGTTTCTCTTTAAGAACATTGTACAGCACAGCCGCATCTCAGCACATAATACTTCAGGCACATATTCAGACTTCCAATGTGGACAGGATGGGGCTTAGGGTTAGACTAACCTACATATGGTCTCTTTTAATTGTGATGGATTTATTCCTTTATCTCTTCAATGGTTGCATTTGCAGCTGAAGATTAAACACAGAAAAAAGAGTTTTCTTTTGTTTTTCAGAGCAGCTTTTCAGATTGTGGAGGGAGACTAGAATCAGCTTTCAAAATGAGAGGCTAGCTGCATGTGAAAGAAGGACAAACCTATCTTAGATGGTCTCCGGAAAGCTGAAATACATTGATGTGAAATTTATAGGAATGTCTAACAGATGAGCATCTCGGGGTGCTTTCACTCTTCCCATTGCCATAGTTTAACAAACAACATGGCAAGTTCTGCCTGTTTTCTGGAGCAATGTCTCCATGCACACATGCATACATTGATAATTGATGCACACATGATAATTGATGTGCAGGATTGTGTCCAATTGCTCATAGTTTGTGTTTTGCAAAGCTTCTACCAGGGTTTACTTTCAGCTTTTTCATGTTTTTTTCAGCAGCACAGGGAGACTCTGTATTCTGAAGATAATTAGCCCTGTGCATCCTTTGGTAATAGATGCATTGAAAGGAAAAGACTTGTACATGTAATTGTAATAAAACTCTGATCATTTGAAATCAGTCAACAGCAATTTGTTTTCCAAACCCGTAAGAATGGGGCCAAACCAGGACTGCTATTTATACTTGACATTTATGCTACTTACGAAAAGAAAAACATCTGGACTGAGTATTTAGCTCCAGCTATAACGTACAGTGTATTGCTGCTAAGGTGTTTTTGTGTTTGTTGTTTTGTTTTGGGTTTTTTTTCCTGGTACTTCTGTATATGGGGAGGTTATAAAACTCTGATTGGCTACAGCATCGAAACTGGAACAACATTTGTGAAATAAAACCTAGGAAACCAAGGTGTGTTGTGGAGCCCAGACCACAATATCAGAATGATTCTGACATATTGGTGGGTCAGGAAAGTTCTGTTTGTCAGAACAACCCAGGATACTGGGGACTGTTTTTATTAACCATTTATCATTAGCATCGGTAATATGCGCACATGTGGGTTTCATAAAGAAGATGTATTCTGACCTTGCTTCGTTGATGTTAAAGTCTTTCATACCCAACTCTTACACATTTCAGTGAGTCTTAGGGATGCATTAAAACATTTTACAGGAACGGACAAAGGACTGTTCTGTGCCAGTCTCTGAACTATGCCCAGCGGCTGGGTGCAGGGAGGTACAACTCGACCACACTTTGTCTCATTGGCTATGACTTGGCATGGAGGATGGACAAGAGCAGCTTGGTCATGCGTTTTCATCTCCTGGCTCCCAAATACAGCCCTGCTGCACAGAAGCACAGCAGAGTGTCTGAAATGTCTTATTTTTATCGTTAGAGGCTACTGTGACTTCCCCACTGAGGAGACAGTCACATGATGCCCCTCTGTGCCACATCAGTTGCAAGGGACAGCACAAAGAAGACACATCAGGGGTCCCTCCACCCTTCTGTGACTCTTACGTAGCACCCAGCCCCAAAATCTCAGAATATCTACTAATCTACTGGAGTCCTGACAACCCCAGAGCCCTCTGATCCATCCCAGTTTGTGCTCAACTGCTGTTATTTCAGCAGTGCCTTGGCTTCCCTTCTGTCCCTGAATTTCAAGTTCTCATCCACCTACTCAGCCACAACTGCCAGTTAAACAATTAATTCAGTAATAGTTATTGCAGGTCTGTAACATCTTCCTGAGATACCAATATAGTAGTTCTCTATAAGTGTAAATTTATAATTCCATGCATATCATTTCTACACTTGCAAGTTAGTTAACTAAACTGAAGTAAATGGCTGCACAGGAGGAAACCCAAAATCCAGCAGACAGATAGCAAGGAGACCATCGGTACAAATACAGTTGAAGGATCATAGATTAATATGCCCTCATTCACTCAGATAAAAGTCCTATAACTCAATAGAACTATTAAGTTCGTGTTTCACAGACGCTTTCAGTTGGAACTGAACTTCCTGTTGGAACTCTTTCAGATTCATTTTTGATGGAATGAAAGACTGATTATTTTTTTTTTCAATAATGGAAAATAGATTTTTATTTTTCTGATGAAGATGTCTCAGTAGATTTTACAACTTTATCAACTTGATGTAAAGCTGAATAGGAAGTTACATATGAAAAGTCGTGGATTCTGCTTTACCTTCAAACTTTATCTGGAGTTTATTGTATAGAAAGGCTGTCTAAACAGAGAAGTTACAGCACACCAGATTTCCAAAACTCTATTTCTATGAAGAGAAGATAATTTATTTACAGATTAGTATATCAATGACCATCAGTAAGATATTTTTCCAGCTTAGAGCCTAAACACAATTTTTTAAAAAAGGCATATGTGGTCGCACTAGTTTTTCATAGAGATCTTGGATCAATTTGAATTAAATGATGCATATCTTCATTTATTTTTCGAATTATGTCCATTTTTAAAGAAATACTCCTTTTCTGTAACTTGACTCCTTAAATACCTCCCAAACTGAGGTGTTCCCCTGAGGAATCTATTAGTAATTCTATTCCTATTTCCCAGGAAATGTCAGGGAGAACAAATGGCCCATGCAGTGTGACCTGAAGGTCAAGAGATTCAGGCTCTGACAAATTGCATCCAGAAGCATATGGCACAGTTGATGACCCTTGCTGAGATTGTCTTGCCTCCGGCTCCATCTGTCATGAGTGAACCTGTGCTGTTAGTTCAGGTTTCTCAGATGGTTTCAACTTTTTCAGTGCTTTGAAGGTTGAATTGAATGTTCCACTGTGATGTGGACAAACTCACTTTAGGATTGATAAGACTCATGTAAAATGCAGATAGAAGGACAAAGTTTACGTGGGCAGGTTTTGGAGTGCCTTTCCTGCTACTTGCCCAGGAGATTTTGCTCCGTCCTGCTCTCAAGTGTTTTGAAGTTTCATTTCCATATAAAGTGCACTAGGGAGAGTTAGCGAATCAAAAGGCCAAACTCCAAAGAAGATGACACAAATTCTGGATGAGCCTGTTGCTACTACCCAAAGTCCAGAGTGGCTGGAGATCCAACAGGGCCTACTTGTAGACCTGAGTTATGGACAGATGAACTCAGTAATTACTCGAGTTCTGATTGAGCGTAAGCAGGAATTTAAATGCTTCTAGATCCCAGGATTTGGCTATATGGATACATGAATATTAAATGTTTATAAAGCTTCATTTAGAAAAATGTTGACCTTTCGCAGCTTTCACTGAAATGAAACAATTGAAGAACTTCGTAGATAGAAAGTTACTACAAAATATCCATATGAGGAGGACATAAACAAGTCAAATGCCACAGATGATTGCCACAGAAAATGAAGAAACATTCTCATTCCTGTGTAATTATATTTCACATTTTTTCTAAAAGAAGAGAATTACGGTGACTTGGAATGGAAATTTGTAAGTGTCTCCAGGTCTTTGAATGGTGATGTAAGGTGAGGACCTTGAACTGGAGCTTTTGAGATTGCGATACATGAGTAATGCCACTGTTGTTATCAGATATAATACCCAACTAGATACCAATGGGTTATTCAACAGTAATCAGCATTTGGCATTGTACAAAGTGATCTTTAGTCCCACATTGCCTGTTGTTACATGAAATTTCTCTTTTAAATGGAAGCTTCTGAATATTTATTTATATACTCTGTAAATGTACTTGTCCTTGGTCTTTTACATTAAGCAGAGTACCAAAATGAATGTATGTGAAAGGGTATTAATCTCCAACTACGGATTTTTTGTTGTCTTCACAGGTTTCCCCTGACCTACAGAATGAAGTGCTTATTAGCCTATTAGAGACTGACCCAGATGTTGTGGACTATTTGTTGAGGAGGAAAGCTTCCCAGACATCGTGAGTAATCTGTTTTTTCATCATCCCTGTTTCTGCTGAGAATTTCTATCTCCCACTGGAGGTGTTCAAGAGGTTCTAGTTTTCTGCAGCTCTTCTGCACTGTCTACAGTGGAGTAGAAATATCCTCCCATTACACAGACTCTGCCAAAGAAATTATGACTCTTGTACAGTGTTTTCTAAAGACAAATCTTGTTTCCGGATTCAGAGGAAAGATTGCATTCTGCTGCAGAGAACAGGATGACATGTACATAAAAATATTCAGTGCACTATTATCTGACAGGATGTATTCTAGTGATCCGCTGGTTCATGTCTTGGGTTTGTTGTAGTCTTCAGTAACAGGAGGTGTATATTACACTATCCTTGAAACACACCCTAGAGTGCCTTAACACAACGGTGGCTAGCCGTTTGACCAGTTTGTTGTTCTTTTGCTGTTGTATACACATAGGACATTGTAAACAAGTTGACTGCCACAACAGCAGGTTTATGGAGATTCTTTGGATATTATTTAATTTCGTGCTCTGTGGAAGATCTGAAGAGAAAAAAAATCACACCAGTCACTACTGCATTTATGATACATAACTTATTCAAACTTTGTGTATGGTGTATGTAAGCCTACACCCGTGTGCCTTAACGCTATGAGTTTGTACATTTGGATTAACAGGATTCCTGCCTCTCTCATGGGACACACAGTCATTGCCTTTATTCTAGTGAATCCCAACATGTCGGACCCCAAAATCACAAAATTTGACAAGCTTGCTTTGAGTCATTTTTAAGAGGTTTCCTAGACTCTAACCTCTCTGGGACAGATTGGACTTTGTCTTCCTGTGTGTATGGAAAGTGCCTAGTGCATTCAGAACATAATTAAAATGGAATTTGTGCAGTCAATTAGCTATGATTTTTTTTCTCTCCCTCTGAACACTGTACAGTTGGAGGTAATGTAATAGTGTGCCTGGCTTTAAAGAAAGAGGTAAAGGACATAATATAATTAACACATGGAGGAAAAAGCTTTCTTTGATTATAAAAATTAAAAATACCCCTAGAATATATCATGTTGTAGAGGATTTTATTAGTCTTTTGACTTAACAACATGAACACGTAACATGCAGTAGCAAATTATCACAGGTATTTGCGGTAATTGGTTCTGTGTGTTTTCTTAGTGTACCACAGACATAAAATAATTTGTTAGTTTATGTCTGACTAGCAAATAATCATGTGTATATTTAGATCACAATAAATGCAGGATAATTAGAGGTACCTTAGCTGTCTTTTACACTTGTTAAATGTTTGCCATGAGCCAAGACCACAATTAGGAAAGACACTGCAAATCACATGACATATGGTAAAGTCTGTAGAGACTTCTTTCTTTAAGCCCTCAGTTTGAAATGGTCATATTATTTCTAACTCAAGCTAATAAAAACCTTCATGCTGGATTTCACTGTCTATATAATAAAAGACATAAAATTGTGTCTCACGTGTGGCTACACATAGAAATTGAGCATAAATTTGTTGCAAATCATTGTGGATGTAACAGATTATTGTTAGATCCTGTTTCCTTTAAGTTAATGGACCTTTCCTTGAGCTTTCTTACTTTTCAGCCAGCATGCACACCTACAGGAGAAAATGGGTCTTTTGTGCAAAGCTGGTCACATCTGACAAAAGGTGTTCTGTATGAAAATGTTTCAAACCCAAATAGGAACATACAGCCAGTACAAATTTATTGTATTTTCAGTAATGGGCAGATGAAGTATCACTGAGCTAGGAAAAAACTTACTATCTGTCATTTTTCTTCTACTCCGCTCTCATGTTAAGTGATTTATTCTTAATGTGATATAGTTTTCACTGTGATTGCAACTTCTTGGTTAAGATATTCCAGGCAATTAGAGGGAGTGTTGCTTAGTGTTATTACTAGGAGTGTGATGCTCTTAAGAGATTAATCTATTTCAGAATGTAATCTCAATTTTGAGGCTACATATTTGTTGGTTATTTTTCCTGTAAGAAATGTGAGGCAGCAGACAACGAAAAGATGTTTGTCTTGATTTGATAAAAATGAGCCTCCAAAATACATCCTTACTACTCTCGGAAATATTCTGGTTGTGTACTCAAGATCCAAATTGGGATCTGTGGAACAGAAAACTTTACATATTCTTGAGACAATCTTCATCAGAAAAGCTAGTTGGCTGCATAGCGTAGAGTATGGAATCAACTTCAAGACTTTAATGTCATATTAATTGCTCTGAAGGTCCTGCTTCTGCAATTGTCCTCACATCTCTGCTTTTGATGTCATTACAAATGCTTTCTTGACTCTGATCTAACAGAGAAAACACAATCTCTTTTCCTCCCCAGAGGAGGACAAATCAGATGTTCCTCATCTTGCAGTTCTCTTAAGAGCTGAGCATTGTGAATGGTGTATCAGGGAGTTTATGAAGTCATTAATGGTAAAGCACTAATAATCATTGGCGGCAATTATGAAGTGTGCTTTTGTGGATGACTTTCCCAACTTTTTTGTATGTTGGCTTGATGACAGTGGAATTTGGGGTTTCCAGCTGTAAGATGAAACATCTTTGAACTAACGCAAAAATAAAATCTGTTTCTTATGATTATTTATTGCTTATCATGGTTAGTAGTCCTATTTGTGTAAATGAGTTTCAAACTTATAGAATTTTTTGGATGGTGATGGTGGATTTTAATCTGTCCTAACCTGTGGCACGAAGATGAAGCCATACAATCGGCCATGCAGTATATGTAAATGCAGTTTTCCATGCTGCAGAGGCTCCCTGAATCCTTGAGTCCTCTACTCTGTTACAGTTGCAAACATATCATAATCTCATAATAATCTGTTTTTTTGGTGGCACTTGTATTGGTCAAATGTGTATGGAAATTACTACTGCATGCCGCCAAGCCTTCACACTCCGTATGGTTTAACTCTTGTAGGACATAATTGTTTTCCCATTTGGAAGCTTTAAGGTGTAACAGAAGAGGATTTCTGCCAAAACCAGGAAGGGATTTCCTGTTTTCATTACCTTAATGGCAGTAGAAAAGTAGGAATATCCCCAGTAGAGGGAACTATTATTATTAATGTCTTCCCAGTTCACCCATGCAAGTAGACGCTGGTGGATAACATCAATTCAGAATGATACCAGTTAAAAAGGAAAGCCCAAGAGTCCCTCATAGCAGAGTTGATTTTTGTTTTGGAATCTGAAATAGTATTTTTGAACACGCGTGGCATAGGTTCCTTCTGAAGCTTCCAAATCTTTCCGTTTGTACGTAACCACTTTTAAAATCATTTCCTTAACATAGTTTATGACCACTAGAAAATGCTTTATTTGCCTTCACATTTCTCACATTTGATAGTACATAATATTCTATTATTCTTTGTGGAGATCATAATCTGCCCTTACTCATAGACTGCCTATAGGCGAATGGGTATCTGTGCTGTATTGACATTTGCCTCCCAATTCAGTTTTTCCCCAGTGTGTGGGTAGACAATCTCATAGCTATACAGGGGAAGATGAATTTTGAATATTAGTAAACTTCCGTTTGCTACTGAACTCAAACCATAAAGCAAACAGATGCAAAAGTTGTGTTTTAAGGAATATGTGAGAATTCATTCTTTATTTGGAAAGATGCAAGCCAAAGTCTTTTGTAAGATGTGTTTTATTTTGTTTGGTGAAGAGCATGGTAAAACTGAAAATGTATGAGATAAGTTTTCAACTTTAAAGTGTTCAATCCATTTTGATGGTTTCTTGTAGTAAGATTGGCAGAGTCCACAAGCATTTTCTTTGATTTTTAAAACTATTTTTTCCAAACAAATTTGAAAGGGATATTATATTTATATATATATATATATAATTGCATGGGCTTACTAGCAAAAACTGTAAATGAGTTTAGGAACTTGAACATTTGGGTCTTTCCAAAGACTTGACAGTTTCCATTTGAGTAAATTTTTATCAGGAGCTCTGTCTTGAGAAGAGATAGACTATAACAGATCATTCAAGGTAAGACATGAAATCAGTGTTTCACAAAGCTCAAGTTTTATGTTCCCACATTCTTTCATTTCCATTTCCCTGTCCCCTATTCCTTGTGTTACCTTGCCATGGCTAAGTGGTGGTATGCCTCTCTCTTTGCCCTGTGCAACGTAGTTAGGTTTTGATTCTGCAAAGATGTACATGCGATAAGCCTTATTGTTGTCAGCATTAGTACTAAGTATGTCTGTATGCTAGCAGGGTGAGGTTTGGATCACATTCAGTCTAGAAAGCTGGAGAGAAAGACATTTGCTCATAGGAAACCTACAAATGCCAACATTTCTCTCCATCTCTCTCGGGTCTTTCTGGTTCTTCTAAAATGCCCAAGACATTGCTTAAATCTCATCTTAACTCACACTCACTGCACAAGCCTTTTTAGAACTTAGGAGGGCAGAAAGAAAGGAGTAAGGGGGAAAAAAAAAAAAAAGAGAGAAAAGATTTGTGATAGAATTGTACATACTTAAAGGACCAATTCTTCGATGTGTGGCTGTTTATACATTAATTTAAGTTGGACACGTTCTTCAGATGAGAAGTTGAGATGGGAAGTTACATAATTGAGGCATGATTTCCTTTTTTTTTTCTTAATGACTCTGCAGCATTACCATAGCAGCCACACTGGGAAGCCTGGGACAGTGCTACTTTGCCAAATGGCAGCTCTGATTTTTTGAGCTGGCCCAAGTTAAGGTTCAGGATCAGTTCAGTGATGGTTGTCTGGGAGTTACCGAGGAGTAAACTTAGTTAATTCCCAACACTTTATGGTTGCTTTTAATGCTTGAAAAAAAATAATGGAATATTGAGTAACATAATAATCATGATGTTGAGTGTATATGTTTTGGGACATGCAATACGTAAATCAACCAGGATGGGAAAAAAAACCAGCTTGAAAGCGGTGTTAAGTTTGGTCATTATTGCTGTGTTTAATTATGTTTAGTGTGCTGTGAGTAGCCTGTCTTACCACTTGTGTTTTCTTTATTTTCTTTCTTCAGTTTTATTTCATTTGTCTGGAAAGAGGGTTATTATTTCATAACAAGAAATGTGCTTTGGCTGCTCACTCAGTTCAAGCTCTCTTTGGATTTGACTCTGAGAAGGACTGACTGTTTTCAGTACCCGTTTACCAGAATGAGCCTCTGTCATATCACATGTGGTTAGAGCAGATATTAACATGAGGTCACTGAGAGAAGCGTTTGACTCAAGAGAAGCAAAAGATAAGAATCTAAGAAACAAAGATCAGGGTGCAGGGAGATGAAAAATGTGTAATAGAAATACAAATTAGGGAGTAGTGATAGGAAAAAAAGTTATATTTGTTTACAGAGCATTTCTACATATTCTTTGAGATGTTCAGTGACTCACAAACTGCCTCCTATCTGCGTAGTAAACTGTAACAGTTCAAGAAAACTCCCTCCATGTTCCCAGCACACTTCAAAAAAGAGTTGTCTCTGTAAGCCTTGGCTGGACTTTGGTGGGTGTTTTGCTTGCCTTTTTTTTTTTTTTTTTCCAAATTAAATGCAGTCCATGCTGTTGGTGATGTACAGGTGAAAGGGTAAAAGAAGTTGTAGAAGTTATGAGCAGAGCCAGTTGTTTGTTGCCCCCATCAGAAGTGCAGGAGATACATCTGCTTGTCCCCTGTAGCATATTTACCTTCTGATGTCTCTAGAAGAGGATCTTTCTCACAGCATGAGAAGCAAGCTAAGGTTTTGGTGTCTCTGACTGTGTAGTACTTCAGAATGGAAGAAGCGATTTCAGCATAATGCTTAGCATCAAACTAATCTTCCCTTATCATGCCCTCAGATTTACTGTTGCAACAAACTAAATTGTCAAGGTAACATAAGGAATTGATTCACTATTTAATTTCCTGTGGTGAACTGTACAGTTGCGTGATTTTTTTGTTGTTTTCTTTCTTGACAGCAACATCTTTTGATTTTTAGTGGCCTCTGCTGGCCACTTCATGGCAAAAGTTTTACTCATGGAAAATTCACCTCTGTACTGCTTCTGAAGTGTTTTCATTTCAGCAGCTGTGGTCATACTCCTGTATTTGATTTTATTTCTATGATGTCAAAGTGCACCTGTAGCTGTGAAGATCAAGCATTTTTCATTAACAGTAGTTTGTTTATCAAAAATTCTCAGGAGCCCTGAGATGCTGCGATCAGAAGGTTCCTGCTCTACAGGAGGAAGACATTCTTCCACAGACTCCAACAAAGCTTCAAGCGGAGATGTCTCCCCTTACGACAACAATTCCCCAGTACTGTCTGAGCGCTCACTTCTGGCAATGCAAGAAGAAGTTGCCCGCAGCCCAGATAAGCTGTACAAGGTACCTGAACAGTACACACTGGTTGGACATTTGCAACCAAAGACAAAGGAGAATTCTTCTGCGTCACAGGCTGGAAAAGGTAGAGTACATCCTGCTCTTGTTCCTCCTCCTCATTGACTGATGGGGCTTTCTTAAGTAATTGAAAAGTGTCATTTTTGTATTATCAGCTACCAGGATTTGAGGAGCAATAGTGTAAATAACCTTAGAAGAAATGACTGACCAACATCCTTTTTTTGTGTTGAACCTGAAGGGTCTGTGCTCAGTCCTCCTTGTTAGCTCAGCCAGCTGTCAGGGATGCTCTTGGTATCACATTTCTCAAAACTTGGAGCTATTATTTACTTAAGTAGTACTATGTATGTCCTGCTTTTTAGCCTGTCTGTGACAGGCTGACAGGAAAGACCGATTTCTAGTCCTGTTCCGTAGGACTGCAATACCTGCAAGGTTATGGTCTGGACTTTGGAAAAATCTGAGACTTTAAGACATCAAGCTACAAATTTTCTCCAATTGAAATGAAGGACCTCAACAACCTCTCACTGGAGAACACAGCTGAGCTTCACAGCCTTACATCTGCTACCAATTACACACCCAGCAATACTAGTGCAGGGATCCATAATTTCCATAGCTATCTAGGGAGTGCACACCTGAATGATTTCTTCTATAAAGAACTGTGGTTTAAACTGACAGCTCACCAGCACTTCAAGATGCTTTTCATTTAATTTTATTTTTTTTTAAATTACATTCATGAAATGCGTATTTAGTGAGCTAAACTTTAAGAACTTTCAATGCTTGGGAATGCAGATTACTGTTTGATAGTATTTTTAAAACCATTTCATTTCAGAGGTACTAGTTAAGCACTTAATTCCCTTTGGAATTAATGGGATTTAGACTATTATGTCAGTTGCGTGCTCTATAAATGCCAATGGGCATTTATCTTCCTTATTCAACGTCTAGATCTCTGAATATGTTTCAAAATTTCGTCATATTTCTAGTAAGTTATGAACAGGAAATTACATGAAGTTTTACCATATTAACCATCTTTTGGACTTCAATGTGCATAACAATTATACTGGACCATGGCAAATTAGGCAGTTCCTTCTCTGCCAGATGGAATCAGAAAAAGGCATGAAACAGTTATAATCCAGCACAATACCTGATGTGTGCACTTCATTAAATCTCTATTCTGTGACAGCTCTTCCCTGTAAGACCCAAGCGATGCTGCGGGTTGATAGAGCAATGCCTTACAGTGACCCCTGGGGCTGAGGCTGCCCGAGGGAGCTTTGCCATTCTTTCCTGTAAAAAGCACATGGACTACCTTCTTTTGACCAAATCCTCCTGTTCTTGTGCAAATTTCTTTGACTGACTTCAGTAAGGCAGAGGACTTTGGGGAAATTCCACTCTCTCGGCAAACTCGGGGCGTCCTGTCCATACAGAGCTTATTGAATCCATTACAGGATCTGATCCTGAAACAGCAAATAACTGTGAACAAATACATTTGAGATGTTTGTGTTAGGTGCACGGTAAGTCAGATGCTAGTATGTGTTAACGACTTACGTGAGGTTTTACCGTTCCATTTGTATATTTCTAAATAATGGCTTTAAGAGGCTCAACTCATCGTCTTCTTCCTGCTCTTACTGCTATTTAGATGTTTCTGAAGATCATTTTGATATCTGGGGCACCTGGCATTCAACACTGAAAAGTGGCTGCAAAGATCCAGCAATGACAGGTCAGTTATTTTTCAAATTTTAAGCCCAAATCTAGCAAAGACAAAAACAATTTCTTGGTTTTGAGAAATTGCAGTGAAACCAGGAGGAGTATTCATGTTGTCCAGACTTGGACTTTTAAAAGGTGACTGTTCAATAAAATACAGGGGGCGCAGTAGTTATACAAGTGGGGTGACATTTCAAATTGTCACAAGATAATTTAAAGAGTTGTTTTAAAATTACTTCACAAAATAGTTTTACATTCTTCTAAAAGTCATGGAAAGGTGGACACCTGGTGGGGATCTGAGAATGGCTGCCGTGGTGGCTGTGAGGTTGGCAACTCTGCCTGCTGACCCTGCTGCCGGCCCGCGTGGTCCTGGCAAGTCCCTGACCCATCCCGTCTTTATTTTTCTCCCATCTGCACCCACCTCGCAGAGGAACCGTGAGACTAAAACACCCCCCTGCTTTTCAAGCATTTGAAAGGTGTTAAGTGCTGCAGGGCTATATGTCAGAGCAAAGTATTGGAGTCACCGGGTAATATATTGGACGTGGTTCAGATAGATGTGGGGCTGCTGCTCTCTGTCCCCAGGTTCAGCCGGTGGTGAGGCTGATACCCCTTCAGTCGCACAGCCTGATGATAAAAGCCCCCTTCCCTCTTCTACAGTGTGATGTGGGAGAAAAGCAATGACGTGTTGTCTTTCTGACTCTGGCCCCCAGGTTCTTACGGGAACATTTACGAAAGCAGCTTGCTGCGACCCGGACAGTGCTCTCTTTCCCAGGGGAACCTCGCCATGTATTCTCCTCGGTGGCAGGGCAGCACCTCCGAATTGGACACCGGCAGGCAGGTCATGCGAAGGAGCCAGACGACTGCTGCCATTCCTGAGTGTCAGCTCCATCCCACGGTGTCTCGGGTGTGCAGCAACCCACAAATCGAAGTCAGCAGTAGGAGCTCAGAGCTGTCACACTCAAAGTCGGAGCGGCACTTGACTTTAAGCAGTGTGGAGGACCTCAGTGGGCGTGACTCGAACGCGGGTTGTTCACAAAGCACAGCCAAACCCTCCTACAGAAAAGAACGGCCACCACCCCCCTACCCGGGCCCAGCAAAAACAAGCTCTGCGTTATCACAGCGGTCGAGCGTCTCTTCAACGTTGCACTCTTTGTGGAGACTTCAACGCCAAGAAAAAAGTTCAGGGACCAGAGCAGCTGGAGGACCGCCAGCCAAGGCCCCTGACCAGGCCACCTCCAGGCAGGAGCGGCCAGCCCCACAAACCCAAGCGGGTCACATCTATTCCACAACACCTCACAGTCAGAACAGTAAAAATGTTTCCGAAGCGGACTGGCATGATTGGCAAAGGGAGAGGTGGCAAATTTGGGAGCTATTATCAGCTGATAACCCTGATGCCCTTCCAGAAACCCTTGTATGATCGGACTCTGCGCAACTGCCACTCATACCTATGCCTCCGTCTCATAGCGAAACAACGGTGACATTGGAAAATGAGGAGGGCTTCTTTGTTTTTTACCAACTGCATATACATTTTTTTTAAACTTTGTTCACTTTAATTTCTTAACAGCACTGTCAAGCAGTCCATTTACAAATGCAGTATGTTCCTGTTTTTCAGCAAGCTTTTGAGAAAAAACAAGATGAAAATTTTAGTCTAATAACTCTGTATGCATATGCTGTGTATAAGATAAAACTGTTGCTTTGATGTTGCTAAAAATGTATTTATATATCTGCAGTTTTGATGATTGTATATTCTGTAATGGGTATTGTATGATAATCATATATTATGTTTTCATATACAGATGTCAATCAATCATGACTGCTTTTTTTTTTTAAATCACTGCACTTACATTACCATGATAAGCATTGGAATTCTATAGAAAGTGCACAAGCTGGTTTCTGTGCTTATATAAAAAAAAACTGTTAAAGGAGGAAGTTGTCCTTCTTTTCACTGCCTATTGAAAAACACTAAAATAGAGTGAAACATGAAAAGCCATATATTTTATAAGGGGAGTAGTGAGCTTAGAGGGGAATATACCAAATATTTTTTTTCTTATAAATATATTTGCAAACAAAATTAAAATTTGATACAAGATTGTAAAAATATTTTTTTTAGATTCTGATAGGAAGCAGCTCAGAGAATCAACTAAGAGCAAGGCCAAGCCTAACCCAACTAAGGATGTAGTGCGAAGGTCTGCCCTCCCATTCTAGAGGAAACCCAATGTTATGTATACAGGATAATAATATATATATTTATAAATGTATGATTTTATGTATTGTTCTAAAACAATAAACTGGAATCCAAATTTTAGAAAAGCAAACCCAATAAATTGAGGTGTGTAACAACTGAGAGAGAATATGGCTTTTCCTTTGAAATGACAAAGCTTCAGCATTAAGAAAGTTAGAGAAAGACAAAAAAATACAGACAACCATAGGAAAGGGAGTCACACAGAGTTTCAGGAATGAACATGACGTTTGGAGAAGTTCACAGCTGCATTTCTATAAATATTGTGCCAAAGTCCGGGTCAATAATACTTCTTCAATAACTGTATGTTGCATTGTTAAATGTTGCTGTTTTATACACGTTCTGGTGTTTTTAAATTGCAAAATTGTTTATGGCCAGCAGGTGGCAATGTACTTCAGTATTCTAGAGAAAATTCTTTTTATCACTTGATAAGGGAAAGTGTATCATATCAAAAGAATTTTATAAAACATATTAGTCTTAATTTTAATGAAGTTGAAGACTTATTCAGTGATGTTGTCTTTAAGTTCTATCTTGTGCCATAATGATGGAATAAAAAGCTAAGCAAAATAATGAGCATATTTTTTGCTCCTTTTTTTGAAGTAAGGTTCACGTAAAAATCAATGTGTTTTTATTACATTCTTGAGTATCTCTGTCGAAAACATGTAAAAGGCTTAGGAGCTTAAGGAGCACTTTCAAATACCACTTAAATATGCAAGATCCAAGATTTTACTTGAGTTTTAGGCTTAAAATCCATCATATAAAGAGTCTGCCCATCATATCTCAATTTCCCAAGTAACATTATAAGATAAAAGCATCAACCCAAGTAGAAAGCGTCAGGATTTGTCCTTTGACTGTTGTAGCACTGTCAGGCTTGTCAGCTCTTTTTATGAATACTGCATTCGGTATAAATCTCAGCTCTCTTCTGGTGGTTGCAAGGCTTTTCCAAATACCGTCTTGATAGGAAACGTGATAGGAAAAGGTTCTTGCACGTAGCTTGTTGCAGCAGCTCTGTGTCAATTAATTACCAAAGAACCCCCATCCCAAATTAAAAAGACAGTGGAATATAAAGCAGGGCAAACCCGAGCTCTCACAAGCAATCTTCACTATTTGTTCTTGTCTCACTATTATCCCAGGCTTGATAACAGATTTGCTACAGGGAATTAAAGCTCCCTAATAGTCCTCAGAACCAGGTGTAGTGTAAATCGTGCAGCAGAAGATACTCCATTCACTAGATGTCCATCTCTTCATCATAAAATCCTTTCTAAATACAGAAGCATCTGCACATTTTAGCATTGTTAGTGAAAGATGTCTAATGGTCATAAAGAGCTTACTTTTCACCAGTATCTCTCTCTGTATATGTGCGTATATTACCATCTATATGGAGTTTATGTGAAAACGGAGAACAAAAAAGAAGACTACAGCTGGAGGACAACCTTATCTGCACCCATTTCATTATAAAATTGCTTGGAAGAAAAGAGATATAGAATAAGTTCTGATGAATTAAAGTAACACTTGCCAGGATTACATCATTTCTGTCTGTTATTTTCATTTGAACAGGACAGAGTAAAATTATCACAAGCAGATTAAGGATGTAGTAATTTTTAGTTGCACCTCTTTCCAGACTGCAGTCAGTGACATAATTTCTTTTGATGCCTTTTTTATATTTCTCAAGAAATGTAGCTGTGCAAGGCTCTTTCTAGTTTTATGTTAGCTGATAGATCTGTGTGGGCTATTCCATTTTCTATCTCTGCAATGTTTTTCTTCCTGTGACACATGCTCTTATACAGCCGTAATATTCCTGTTATGGAGAAAGTCTGTAGCATGGGGATATCAAAGCCTTTTCTCTGACTGTTTTCCTTGGGAGCAGGATTCCTGCCATAGCCAAAGAGCCACAGGCCTCTGCTCCAGTGAAGAGTGTAGTAAAGAAGGTTTCTTCCAGAGGTCTCGAGGCCTCAGGGCAAACTCCTGCAGTTCGATTCCCTCCCATCGCTTCCTATCGCACCACACTCGTTCATACATAGGACTGAAAAAAACCCCATATCTCTTTCACTTGATGGTCTTCCCTTGATGGTCTGTGTTATCTCCTCTTGGGGGGTGTCTCCCAGCCAGGAGGAAGGGTGTGCTGCACTCACAGGTGAGCCCTGGGGAGGCGAGATGTGGGTGCCCCAAGGATGGAGGTGCCTGCAGGTTGCCCACGGGACGCGGGTTGCTCTTCTCTCTTCGGTTTCAGAAACAAAAAAAATGAGAGGAATGAGTGCATCTCTAGATATAAGCCAAATGTGGTAGGGATCCTTGGAGCCAAGGGAAAAAAAAGAAAAGGTCAGGCTTTAAAATGTTACTTTAAAATGTACTGTTGCTGCCATCTTTTAAAAGATGTGGTTACACAGTTGATTCGCCCATTCCAAGACCATGCTCTGCTGCTAAGGGGTAAGTTGCACCCTTCCCTCTTCCCCAGCCTCCTATCCCACCCCTTACACCAGCTCTTCGAGTGGTGGGAGGAATTCTGGGGCTTGTTGCTCTGGCTGAAACTTCCCCTGTACAAGGAACACGTAAAATTCAGATAGCTCAGTGGCTTTCAGCAGTGGTAGGGACAAGGTTGGAGATGGGGGAGAGGAGGAGGAGGGTGGGACTGTCTGCCCCCTCTGCTAGCTGCCTCCAGTTAGACCTATTTAATCTACTCAGACAACTGCAGGGCTCACTGCTTCAATGCGTAGGCAGGAACCCACCAAGCACTTGAGAGTGGTTCTGTGCTACAAACCTAAGCCATCTGCTTAGGGTGCTTGAAAGCTCTCAAGTGCTCTGCTGTCTACATCGGGAACCTAGGCTGCCACCGTGGCACAGCTTAATGCCACTTAGGACTTCTCTGCTGTTGAAATGATGTGGTTCAATGGGCTGGAATTTGTGGTTGTATGGTCTGGGGAGAGGGATGGGTCCTGTTTTGTTACTGACCTTGTTTCACAGGCATTGGTCGAGGTCAAAAAACTTCAATTCCAGCCTTTGTGGAGCACCATCTTGTCCTGTGGTGCTGGTCTGGCAGAGGGTCAGGGACTTCCTTCTCCTCTGGGAAACACATGGGATGTCTGAGCCTCACCTTGCTCCCTCTCTCTAAAGAAAAAGAAAAAGAAAAAGAAAAAGAAAAAGAAAAAGAAAAAGAAAAAGAAAAAGAAAAAGAAAAAGAAAAAGAAAAAGAAAAAGAAAAAGAAAAAGAAAAAGAAAAAGAAAAGAGTAGCTCCATCATGCGATGCTATAACCTCACAGAACTGCAAAGCAGTGGAAATGGTTCTCAGTCACATTAAAGAGTATCTTGACATCCGTAAGCCCTTTTACAACATCACTGAGAACAGCAAACTACTGCCATGCTACAGTCGCTTTAGGGGAAGGCATCTCGGGATGCTGCAGAGACCACAGAGCTATTCAAGGCATGTAGACACCCAGAGTGCTGGGTCATAAAATGCACTGTCTCTGAGAATAGCATTCATCTAACTTTTCTGAAGTTGAAAGCACCTCCAAAGGTGGTATCTACATCTGGAAAAGTCACTCACAAGTTCCTCTCAGTGGAGAGAGACAGGTATTTCTGAGCCACCATCCATCCAACCTACCTGAGCCTTTCTTTGAAGGACAGTCCCCTTTGAAGGGCCGGTCACTAGAAGAGCCCATTTCCACTGCCTAAAGGAAACCTAAATAAGTTGCCCAAATAGAGACCCCTCTATGGTAGCCCTCTGAGTTTGGTTGAATTAATCCCATCCTAAGGGTCTGGTAAACTAGCAAATGAATGACAATCCCAGCAACAGTAAGAAGCAGCATTTAATAACGCCGTTGTCTAATGCCAACAAGTTATTACAGCCTGGGGAAAGGAAAGCAATATGTTCAGCACACCTTTCCAGCTTCTGGGGAAAGCAAAACTTGCCAGAGGCCTCAGCGATGTTGTGCTGTTCCCTGGGCTTCCAGGTGAACCTGGGGCTGGTGGGGGTGGTGGTGACAGTGCTGCTGCCGGGGGCCTGGGAAGGTGGCTGGCAGAAGGGGACGGCATGCTGGGTGCTGTAGGAAATCCAGGCTTTTGGAAAGTAAGGGGGAGACATTTCTGGAACTGTACTTTTATTTGTTGGGGGTTTTTGTTTGGTTGGGTTTGTTGCTTTTTTGGTTTGTTTTGATTTGTTGTTTTTTTTTTTTTTAATGGG